ATTATATGACTCTCGTCTGTGTCTTTACCAATGCTTTTGAGATATTTGTGAAGTATGTTCATATCCGACTTGATACGGGCTGTGGACCGATTGTCATGGTAACGGTCTGTGGAAAGATATCAAATGTGATACGCGCTGTTCGGAACAATTGTCATGGTAACGGTCCGAGATGGGAAAATATCAGACCCCAAATCAACCAATCAGAGCGCGCGTACGGTCCAAGTCATATAATTAATGTGTGTATGTGTGTGTCTTACACAGAGTGCTGTCTCTCCTCCTTTATGTCTCTAAATTCAGAGTTTTCCTCCACAAACTCCTGCATCTCCTCCTTTATGTCTCTAAATTCAGAGTTTTCCTCCACAAAGTCCTGTCTCTCCTCCTTTATGTCTCTAAGTTCAGAGTTTTCTTCCACAAAGTCCTGTGTCTCCTCCTTTATGTCCATGAGCTCAGAGTTTTCCTCCAGTTTCACTTCAGCCATGTTCCACTGAGTTAGCTCTTGTTAGCTCTTGTTAGCTCTTCTCGTCCGCGTTAGCTTCCGTTAGCCTCTCGTGGCTAATCCTCCAGCTGTTAAAACATGAATAGTCTCTAAAGTTAGAATGTTTAGTTCTCAGCGCCCTCGGGTTAGCTCCCTCCTGTTAGCTCTCTCCTGTTAGCTCCTGTTGCTCCCTTCTTGCTTGTGGCTCATGTAGAATCCTTGATTGTTTCTGAAGCTCCCCGAACGGAAAACAGATTCCGTGATAACACTACTTCAGGGGCGCATGCGCACTGATGTGAGTCTAGAGGGATGTTGTCACCATGGACACTGCGGCGGCCATCTTGTGACTGTAGCAGCAGCTACAATTACAATAGAAAGGGGCAGAATGTTTTTCTTTTTTTTACAAGAAACTCATGTACTTGAAACAGACTCCCATGGGTACAATGACAAAGCAAAAACAGCTGGTAGCAGTTTCCGTGGCAACTGTCGCCAAAAGTCGCTATGACCCAGAGTATTTTTTTTTGACCAGATAGTTTAGCCGCTGTGTGGACTTTTGAATACACTCGTTAAATGAAAAGGGCTCGTGCAGACTAACGCATGGACACGTAATTTTTAACATTTTTTTTCAGGAGGGCCTGCCCGCGGCCATTAAAAAAAAGTTGGCATGAGGGAAAAGTGATGACACAATGACACTAATGTTTCAACGGCGGAGATAAGCGTCACTAAGTCCGTTCATATTTACAGTCTGTGGTTGTTACATGCATTTGAATGTGTTCTGGGACAATAACTAATGAGCCAATGTTTAGATTAAACAGTCATTACATTTTGTGTACTGATGTATTCTGTCAAATTCCTTTCTTTATTATGCCTAAGCAGAGTCTAATTATAGTCCATTCATTATCACTGGTTGTGTGTAGAAACCATGTCGATCCAGATAGATACAGTGGGGCAAAAAAGTATTTAGTCAGCCACCAATTGTGCAAGTTCTCCCACTTAAAATAAGGACAGTGGTCTGTAATTTTCATCATAGGTACACTTCAACTGCGAGAGACAGAATGTGAAAAAAAAATCCAGGAATTCACATTGTAGGATTTTTTAAGAATTTATTTGTAAATTATGGTGGAAAATAAGTATTTGGTCAATAACAGAAATTCAACTCAATGGAAGGAGGTTTTGTATCAAAATCTCACGATACATGGCCCCATTCATTCTTTTCTTAACACGGATCAGTCGTCCTGTCCCCTTAGCAGAAAAACAGCCCCAAAGCATGATGTTTCCACCCCCATGCTTCACAGTAGGTATGGTGTTCTTGGGATGCAACTCTGTATTCTTCTTCCTCCAAACACGACGAGTTGAGTTTATACCAAACAGTTGTACTTTGGTTTCATCTGACCACATGACATTCTCCCAATCCTCTGCTGTATCATCCATGTGCTCTCTGGCAAACTTCAGACGGGCCTGGACATGCACTGGCTTCAGCAGGGGTCACGTCTGGCACTGCAGGATTTGATTCCCTGTCGTCGTAGTGTGTTACTGATGGTAATCTTTGATATTTTGATTTTATTTTCACATTCTGTCTCTCAGTTGAAGTGTATCTATGATGAAAATTACAGACCTCTGTCATTATTTTAAGTGGGAGAACTTGCACAATCGGTGGCTGACTAAATACTTTTTTTCCCCACTGTAAGTTACTGCACCATGCAGCGCAAGTTTGTCTCCTCGAGAGACTCGAGGCAATGACTGCTGAGAGCCTCAAGGCACAAACTTCTCAGAAAACCTGGTACGACCGGACGGGAAGGGACCAAACCCTTAAGGATTAGGCTTGGGGTCCCTTCAGGTCCAGACCCTTCAGACTTCAGCCCCTGCCACATTTAAAGGGCTCATAGTATACCTGCATGAAAACATAACAATAGTACATCTTTATTTGAATAGCACTTTTCAAAACTCAGTATGAAGCAATAAAAACAGTCAGAAACAGGGGCTCGTTGGCGGGTAAAAGTTGATAAATTCAGTGAGTCCTGGGGGAACATCTCCTCCACCTCCAGGAAGTCCTACAGAGAATCCCGGCCGCTGCATTGACAATCATCCCCAAATATAAGGAGGCCCATGAGGTCGGCCCATAGGGACTCACTCATGCTCATTTTTCAAACTACCAGTCGGTTGGTTTTTAGAAAATGGAGGATTTGGGGAGTAGAAACTATTATTATGGAGGGCCTAACTGGTTTTCATGTGGTTTTCTTTTTTAATGTAATTTAGCAAAACAGAATAAACATGCCATGGCAGCATTAAGTTACAGGTCTTTGTTGGGTCTCCTGATTCATTTAGATAAGCAACAGATCAGTGTGAGGCGTCAGGCTGGGAGGGGTCCAGGGGAAAATAGTCAAAAATTGCTTAAATTTGGCTAAATGTATCTTAATTCTAGCACATTTTGACTGCCAATAGGACGAGCAATTATTATTAAAAAAAGATACAGAAATGTCTCTCTTAGAATGTGAAGATAGTTCTTGAAGAAGACTAAATGGCTTTGTTCCATTGGTAAATCAAATTAGGCAAGGCAAGTTTATTTGTATGGCACAATTCATACACAAGGCAACTCAAAGTGCTGAACAAAACAACATAGTATTAAAATCATAAATAATCAGAGTACATTAAAAAGAAAAAGAAAAATTTAAAAGCTGTAGAATATTCAAGAAAAAAAAATAAAGGAGCTGGTAACAGAAATACTTGGAGGAGAGTGTGTGATGCCCTGGGTATTGTTCTGGTGTTGAGAGGGGGGTGGGGGGTCGGGCCAGTGTGTGTGTGTGTGTGTGTGTGCGTGTGTGTGGCTGTATGCAATAAACAAATAAATGAAATGAAAATCCCTCAATTAAAATTACGATAAAAAACACTTGATTCAAGCAATTATTACCTCATATTTTCTCACTTTCTGCAGTGTAAAATACTAAAGAACTCATGATATGCAGGACTCAGACTCTAACCGTCCAGCAGAGGGAGCTCTCCGGCAGACGAGTGTGGAACTGTTGTAGGAGGAGGAGTGAAGACAGAAGTGTGAGAGTATGTTGGAGAGAGCTCTGTCTGACCACTGGCTGAGCACCACCTCGGTAAGTACAGCAGATACAGACGACTTTAGTGACAACATTTATAACTTAAGATTTCACTGCAAAAAATTATGGGGTATTGCTTAAGGTTGTTTTTTTTTTGTTTTTTTTAAAGTTTTGTGTTTTAAAACAAGGGACAAAACAAATGTAGTCTTTTTTTCTAGAACTGTTTCTTTATTTTCTCATTCATTTCTTGTATCTTTTTAGAACGAGATAATTTTGCCTTGTCCCATTGTCAAATCTTGTTTTAAGACAGCCAGAAAGTGCTAAAATTAAGAGACATTTAGCCAAATTTGAGCAATTTTAAACTTATTTTATCCACACTTTCTGCGACGTTGTTGATACTTTGGCTTCTTTACGAGCTTGTGTTGGACTATTCTGTATTTCTGTTCTCTAAGTAGTATGTAAAGCACTATGTATGAGTAACATGTGTTGTATTTTCCATATCTTTTACTAAGTTTATATTCCTATGTTAGTTTATTATGGACAGCAGTCTCTTTTTCATCTGCTCGAGAAATGGATTCTGAGTGTCGCTGTAAAGGAAGTGATAATCTCACAGCAGATGGGAGAGTTAGCAAGATACACTTCAGCTAAAAACTCGGAACATTTTTTGATTACTATTTTGTCGGGGCAAGACCTCAGTTTATGTACAGTATATGTACAGTTAATGTGCAGTATATGTACAGTATATGTGTCCGTGTGAGAATCTGCACAAATGACACGTTTCTGGGTTGTATTTGTGTCACTTTTCACAGATCCACTGATGTCAGTCTGGATCTGGCTCTACACTAATCTGTATGTGGCAGCTTTACTCACAGGATTCTACGGCCCTTCAACATTAGAACATATGAAGATCCTTTATTCGTCCCACGGTGGGGAATTTTCAGTGTTGCATCACCAGTTAAAGAACAGTACGAATGAGGAGAACATTGCAATTCAATTCCATTTGTTCTTGAATAGCCCTAAATCACAACAGTAGTTATCACGGAGGACTTTGCTGACACAAATCAGAGAATAAAACAGTTCAATGATAGAAAAGACATAGAGCCATTGGTCTATATGGAGCAGAGACCAATGTCCATAAATGTTGTGTATTATTGAGTTCCCTGGATCATCACCACTGTCCTTAGACCCTCCTGCATCTGCAAGGAATGACTCTTTTAAAACAAAAGTTGGACAAAGATATGTGATCAATAACTAATAATAATTTCAGATTTAGATATCCTTTATGCGTCCCACAGTGAGGAAATGTCAGTGTTGCATCACCTGTCACAATGTCTAGCTATAGCATCATAAGGAAACAATCTAAATTCTCCATATTCAGCATAATGAAGAAGCAAGAATTAAGTACAAAATATTTGAGCTTGGCATAAAAAAGAAGTAAAAAATCAAATAAAACCACTACCTTCTTGACATAATAAATAAATATGAAGTTGCTCTTAGGCTGCACGCTAAACGTCGGGGGCAAACGGTTTCCTTTCACCGCAGACTTAGTGAGCCACCTCCCCCTCAGCCGCCTCAGCCGCCTCAACCGCTGCGCCTCCGAAAGCGAACTTCTGGAGTTGTGCGACGACTACGACAGCGAAACCAACGAGCTGTTTTTTGACCGCCACTCCGACGCCTTCAGCTTCATCGTGTCCTACGCCCAGCACGGCGCTCTGAGGCTCGCCCCCAGCATGTGCGAGCTGTCCTTCCTGAACGAGTTGGTGTACTGGGGCCTGGACTCGGCAGAGCTGCAGACCTGCTGTCAGAGGCGGCTGGACCAGCGCATGAACGACTGCTGTGTGCACTTCTTCCCCGAGTGTCCCTTCAGCGACTACAGGCTGTTCGTGCAGAGTGAGCGACACCGGGGGCCGGAGCTGGGGTCGCGCTGGCAGGGCTGGATGGAGACGATCCGCAGAACCTTTGAGGAACCGACGTCCTCGTGCACCGCTCAGATCCTGGCCTCGATATCGGTGCTGTTTGTACTGGTTTCCATGGTGATGCTGTGTACCAGTACTATTCCAGAGTGGTCCCGGGACGACACCCTGGAGACTCACAGGTAGTACTTCAGTTTCACTTTAGTTTATTGCAAAGGGGACAATGTAATTTAATAAAACACATGATTAAATTTTTCATTATTCTTCTTTAGTCCCCACTTACACAACATGTCAATCATGGTTCACTGTCTGTCATTCATTCATTCATTTTCAACCCCTTTATCAGTACATTTCTGGGTCTGGGAGGTGGCAATGAGCGCTGCCACCCAATGCTTATAGCACCAGCTTCGGGCAACATGGGGTTAAGTGTGACGACATGTTCACTGTAATTTATGAACAGCGAGATGTTCATCATCATTTGTTCTTGTCATCCATCCATACACCAATTTTCTTCCACTTCATCCGTTGCCGGGTCGCAGGGGCAGTAGTCTGAGCAGAGACCCCCAGACTTCCCTCTCCACACATGCCCATAGGCCTGTCCAATTCAGGCCTATGAGTCAAATGCTCACACACAGTCAAATCCTTATTGTTGATCCCTGGACAAGTCTAATCAACTAAAGTGGTCGTCTTTCTGTAAAGTTTAGACACCCCTGCCCTACAGGTTTGGAAAGATGGGTCAAATGCAGAGGATACATTTCTCCTAACGGGACCATAAAGTATGACTTAATTTAACTTTGTCTCAGAGCTTGTGAACTCCTCTCCTCATCTGGTCTTTGTCTGTGTGTGTCGTGTGTGTGTGTCTGTGTGTTGTGTGCGTGTGTGTTGTGTGCGCCATCTGTGTGTATGTTAAATATATTGAGAAAACATGTTTACACCCAAAGCCGTTGTCAAATTCCACTGATAAAGCTTGAATAAGACTCCTCATGTCTCCTCTCTGTTCAGGCTGGTGGAGTCCATCTGCATCGGCTGGTTCACCGCCGAGTGCACGCTGCGTTTCCTGGTCTCTCAGGACAAGTGTGAGTTTGTGCGACGGCCGCTGAACGTCATCGACATCCTCGCCATCGCGCCGTACTACGTGTCGGTGCTGGTGTCGTTCCTGACGGGAGAAGACTCCGAGCTGCAGCGAGCCGGGGTCATGCTACGTGTCTTGAGGATGATGCGTATCTTCTGGCTGATCAAACTCGCTCGTCACTTCCTCGGCCTCCAAACTCTGGGCCTCACGCTGCGCCGCTGCTACCGAGAGATGCTAACGCTGCTAGTCTTTGTCGGCGTCGCTATGGCAATCTTCAGCGCTTGGGCTCAGCTTCTGGAGTATGGCCTGGACCCCACTCCCAGTTTTGGCGTTAGCAGAGGATCCGGAAAGGTCTACACCCTCCCCCACCAAGAATACAGCCTCCCCTCAAACCCTGGCAAAGAACTGAACCGCGGTCGAAACCAGGACTACGTTAGCATCCCCGCGGCTTGCTGGTGGGTGATAATTTCCATGACGACGGTGGGATACGGAGACATGTACCCGGTGACAGTTGCCGGCCGAGTTTTGGGAGGTGTCTGTGTGGTGAGCGGCATCGTGTTGCTTGCTCTCCCCATCACTTTCATCTATCACAGCTTTGTGCAGTGTTACCATGAGCTCAAAGTCCAGTCCAGTCGAGACCAGTATGTGCTAGAATCAGCCAGAGATCCCTGACCGAGGCCTGTCGTTGCTACCAGTGTTACCAAGAGATCCAAGATTTAGTTTATCTGCAGTTGCGGTGCGTCCAAAATAAAACCACCAACTAATGTTCTTGCATTTGGCTGAATCTATTTCCATGAGTAAATCCTAAAACAAGATTAGGAAAATGGAAAGTTCTACAGCATTTATTTCAGTGTTTAAGACCATTTTTGTGATAATTTATTACCTAAAATGAAGACATAATGTGTTTTTGGACTGCTTGTGTTACCAGAGCCGGGCAATAAGTAGACATGCAAAAACTGGTATGAATATTTACAGTATTTATTTTATTACTAGTAGGAAGGAGAAGTGACACAAAATATAAAAGTTAAACGCCTTTACAAAGCTCTGAATATTAATGAGCTAGGCTGAATAACAGAAATGAAAATACACTCAAAAGGACAGCAGGCAGCAAATATTAAAACCACTGTAAAACAGAAAAACACAAAACCCTTAATATCTTAAACAAAACTTTAATAATTTAAAAACCTGTTAAAAACTTGCTACCTGTGCGTCGCAACCCCCACACACACAGCTCCACACAGATCTCTATTTGCCCAATGGCAAACAGCAAGGCCTCCCTACCACAGAACAAAACAATTAATTTCATCACCATAATACTGCATAAACTATTTTAAAAGCTCACCGTAACTTTGGCCAAACACGCACACACACATGGGCCCAGCAAACACTCTGGCCGCCCACGGAAACTGGCACCTGTCTGGCACGTAGCCAACTTCCTATTTTAAGGCTGACACCAGCGACACCCACTGGTGACACCCGTTACACTTGTGTACGGCCATAAATCACAAGAGCAGTTGTCACAAAGGATTTTACAAAGTTGTTTTGCCAAGAGCAGATCAGAGAGTAAAACGCATATGCAATAATAACAAACACAGCTAATTGTCCGTAGGGAACGGGATGACCACTGTCCAAAAATGTAAACAAATGTCCCGGATCATCACTGTCCTTAGACCCTCCTGCATCAACGAAGAATGACTGAAATGTGAAGAACCTCGGGAGGCCCACACTGAGAGTAAGGTCCACTCCCATGGATGGGTGTAGTCTACTGTAGATCCAGAACTAAAATAAATTGCCCTACAGGGATCAATAAAGTGCACCTTTACCTTTACCTTTAGTAAAGGTTGTAGATCCAGGACTGTGGCTGTAGACCCAGGACTGAGGCTGTAGATCCAGGACTGAGGCTGTAGATCCAGGACTGAGGCTGTAGACCCAGGACTGAGGCTGTAGATCCAGGACTGAGGCTGTAGACCCAGGACTGAGGCTGTAGATCCAGGACTGAGGCTGTAGATCCAGGACTGAGGCTGTAGATCCAGGACTGAGGCTGTAGACCCAGGACTGAGGCTGTAGACCCAGGACTGAGGCTGTAGACCCAGGACTGATGCTCTAGACCCAGGACTGAGGCTGTAGATCCAGGACTGAGGCTGTAGATCCAGTAGGGTCTCCAGACTTCACCACTTGGCCCTCTATTGTTTGGTAAAGCTTGATCTTAGAATCTAAAGCAGTGTTTGGTGCTGCCACTGCATCCTTGATTGTGGCACTTTATCCTGGTCCTTTCTCTGTGCATGTTCCTCCCTGTGGCTGGGGTTTCCTCCAGGCGCTCCTGTTCCACCCCATCGCCCAGTGGCACAGAAGGATCAAATGCAGGGGACGATAGAGCATCCATCTCTTACCCATTACTGTTCATTCTATGTACCCATGTAATATAGACTGTTGATGAGTGATGTCGCACACAACTGATTTTTTTATTCAGTAAAGTTTTTATTCAAGTATTTGTGCAAAAACACTACAGTTCATATGTGTAGTTCTATGGTACATCTGGACTTTTCTCTCATCATGGAGGTATGTGTGTGTGTGTAAATACCATCTTTGTAGACATAATAATGTTGACGTTTTATCTGTCTTTTGCAAAGCTGCTCCCATCTGAAGCCAATGCTATTCGTGACAGCTAGCATTAGCGACCACAATAAAGTGTTAAATCTGTTGTGAAACAGTTAAAACAGCTGTTATTTACAGTATATGAACATAAAGTACCCGTTTGGATCACATATTATTAGCCTCGTAAGGTTAGTCTCATATTGTTAGCCTCGTAAGGTTAGTCTCATATTGTTAGCTTCATATTGTTAGCCTCGTAAGGTTAGTCTCATATTGTTAGCCTCGTAAGGTTAGTCTCATATTGTTAGCCTCGTAAGGTTAGTCTCATATTGTTAGCCTCGTAAGGTTAGTCTCATATTGTTAGCCTCGTAAGGTTAGTCTCATATTGTTAGCCTCGTAAGGTTAGTCTCATATTGTTAGCCTCGTAAGGTTAGTCTCATATTGTTAGCTTCATATTGTTAGCCTCGTAAGGTTAGTCTCATATTGTTAGCTTCATATTATTAGCCTCGTAAGGTTAGTCTCATATTGTTAGCTTCATATTATTAGCCTCGTAAGGTTAGTCTCATATTGTTAGCCTCGTAAGGTTAGTCTCATATTGTTAGCTTCATATTATTAGCCTCGTAAGGTTAGTCTCATATTGTTAGCTTCATATTATTAGCCTCGTAAGGTTAGTCTCATATTGTTAGCCTCGTAAGGTTAGTCTCATATTGTTAGCCTCGTAAGGTTAGTCTCATATTGTTAGCTACATATTGTTAGCCTCGTAAGGTTAGTCTCATTGTTAGCTTCATATTATTAGCCTCGTAAGGTTAGTCTCATTGTTAGCCTCGTAAGGTTAGTCTCATATTATTAGCTTCATATTATTAGCCTCATGCTCCACACTCAAAGGTCTAAACTTGTGATTGTAGTTTCATCTTCGTTGTGAACTGCGTGAAATGAAACGTCAATTCAATTTTGTATGGCCTTAAATCCCAAGTCGTCACTTCACCAACACAGATCAGAGAATCAAACAGTTCATCACAGGAAATGCAATGATTAAAAACAGATGGTCTGGGCCATGAGGGGCAGAGACCAATGTTAAGAAATGTCCTGGATCACCAACATAGAGGGAGGGATCTGCTCGGACCCAGGCAGACCAGTGCAGGACTGAGGCCACTCCCAGGCGACGAGAGGGTGCAAGATAGAAATGATAAAATTATAACATTCCCACCACTGTATATCTTTGTTTATCTTTCAAACGCCTTGGTGAGGTTGAAGTAAAAGGTTTATTTTTTGTTACAAGAGTATGAATAGGACAAGGCCAGTCCAGTCCAGTCCAGTCTCCCACCCGACCCCTGACCCCAGTGGCTGTGCTCCCAGTCTCTCCTAGCTGCACAGGGGTGGGCCACATTGAGATATCACTCTTTTGTGAAGGGGCCAAACCCAATTTCACATGGTTAAATATAAAAAAGTATGTATTTGTTTCTGTAACAAATATGAAAGTATCCAGTGTTTTCTTTGTGTTTGTGGATATTTTGTTCAGAGCAAATTATTACTAATAATCTTGACTGATAAATATACAACATGCCATTGGAAGAACATAATAATTTACATGCCTTCATTGACTCGTTATTCTTATTAAAGAGCTATAACAGACCAATATAAGGTCTGTTTTAGCGATTAATTACAATTAATTAATTTTTAAGCTGTAATTAACTCGATTTAAAAAAAAAAATTGTTTGACAGCCCTAGTAGTTATATTAATTTGTTATGTATTTCCAGTATTTGTTCATCTGAGCCAATATTAAACTGATTTAAAGACTTTTCCTACTGCTTTTCTCATCACATTGCTCTAAAGTCTGTGCTTGAAATAAGAAAAAAAATGTAATTCACTGACATTTATTTTTGTAGAACGACAAAACAGTAGTTGTCACGTATTGAGTTCATGAAGGTGTTGATTGGCACACAGGAATCGCCTCTTTCCAGTCATGTTCATAAATGTGTATAAATGTTCCGGATCATCACCCTTCTTTATCGGCAAGAAAACACTCACAAAAACAAAACAAAAACATCGGGAAAAATATGCGAGAAACCTCTGGGAGGCCCAATGTGAGAAAGGTATCCACCTCAAAGAACGGACCGGCTGTAGACCCAGGACTGAGGCTGTAGACCCAGGACTGAGGCTGTAGATCCAGGACTGAGGCTGTAGACCCAGGACTGAGGCTGTAGATCCAGGACTGAGGCTGTAGATCCAGGACTGAGGCTGTAGATCCAGGTCTGAGGCTGTAGATCCAGGACTGAGGCTGTAGATCCAGGACTGAGGCTGCAGATCCAGGACTGAGGCTGTAGATCCAGGACTGAGGCTGTAGATCCAGGACTGAGGCTGTAGACCCAGGACTGAGGCTGTAGACCCAGGACTGAGGCTGTAGACCCAGGACTGAGGCTGTAGATCCAGGACTGAGGCTGTAGATCCAGGACTGAGGCTGTAGATCCAGGACTGAGGCTGTAGATCCAGGACAGAAGCGACACCCAGGTGGGGAGAGTGGTGCATAATAATTATATAGATAATATATGGAAACAGTAAATAGAACAGTTTGCCGCAGCACGGTGGCTGAGTGGTTAGCACTCTCGCTTCCCAACAAGGGTTTGATCTCGGTCGGGCCTTTCTGAGTGGAGTTTGCATGTTCTCCCCGTGTATGCGTATGTTTGCTCCGCGTGATCCGGTTTCCCCTACCATGAAAAACACGCACAATAGGTATGAATGTAATGAGTGAAGGGATGGTGTTTGGTCAGAGGCTTTGATGGTCCAGTGTGATCGGCGTCTCGCTTTAGAATCACTGTGTGTGGAGAAAATGGAAAACTATCTGAACTCTGAACATTTGTAAAGCGCTTTGGGTGATGTTGGTTTGTGAAAATGCGCTATTTAAACAAACAAACAAAGAGTTTCTGAAGCCGCTGCATGGCCTTGGTCCTCGTTCTACAGTCTGAGTCCTTGATCTACAGCCTGTCCGTTCGTGTGGAGCGGATCCCACTCAATAAGGTTCTGCCTGAGGTTTCAAACTTTTCTCCCACTGGATTTTAGAGTTTTTCCTTTGATGCAGGATTCTGATAGACTGTTAGTGTCTAACAAGAAGGACTGTGTTTATGATCCAGGACACTACATTCCTGAGGACAACGTTATTATAAACCACTGGACCCTGTCTCACACGGACTAACAGAGAAATTACGCAGAGTAATAAACGATTTTTCAAACATGACAAAGAGGTGTCGCGTATGATATCACCAATGATATTAATCCTATAAACAGGGGTGCACATAAGTGGTACGCAGGTACGCATGCGCGACAAATGCGTACTATCACTTTAGTTATTAAGCGCCGTTGCGTACTGCATGTAACCCGGTCATCAGGAGTCTCCGCTCCTCTCCATTATTTTTTGCCGTCTCTTGTGAAGAATCTTGCGGTACTTGCAGTGGCAGACCCTCAATGCCAGCAAGGCCTTCTCTGCTGGCCTAAACATGATTACTAACGGCTTATGGTGGCTGAGTGGATAGCACTCTCGCCTCTCAGCAAGAAGGTCCTGGGTTCGAATCCAGGTTGGACCAGGGCCTTTCTGAGTGGAGTTTGCATGTTCTCCCCGTGTCTGCGTAGGTTTCCTCCGGGTACTCTGGTTTCCCCTACCACTAAAAATATGTACAATAGGTCTGGCATGCGCCTCCTGTTCGGCGACCCCGCTCCCATCTCTGTGTGGAGTGAGAGGACAAGTGCCCAAAAAATAACAATTGTAAACCGCTTTGTGACTCTGGTCTGTGAAAGGCGGTATATAAATAAAGATTACTTACTTACTTACTTATTAACCGAGCAAGCGAGGTTAATAAATGTTTTATTATATGACTCTCGTCTGTGTCTTTACCAATGCTTTTGAGATATTTGTGAAGTATGTTCATGTCAGACTTGGTTTTGTGTGATACGCGCTGCGGACAGATTGTCATGGTAACGGTCCGAGGAAAGATATCAAATGTGATACGTGCTGTTCAGACCAATTATCATAGTAACGGCCTGAGATGGGAAAATATCAGACCGGTAATCAGCCAATCAGAGCGCGCGTACAGTCCAAGTCATATAATAAATATATATATTTTATAATATATATAATGTATAATTTATCTACTTATTATAATTTTTTTCTATGTTTTTTCCCCCCACAAACTACGTTGGTTGCGCAGCTTCCAACTTCAGGTCAACATTTAGGAGGCCTGGCGTCTAACAGAGTTGTTATCCAATCATTGGTCAGCGTCATGAGTTGCTATGGCCCAGAATCTGCCTTTAGGCCTTCAGAGTCTGCAGTCCTGGCCCAAAGGCAATGAAAACAAACCTGTGACATTGGCCAATCAGCGCCAATCAATCACTATAACTGACGCTTAATCCTTCTCATTGTTCAAAATATTGAACTCATTCTAACTCTCAAAGGCGTTGAAAATAGTTTTCACTCCAAATGAGACTAATATCAAGCCCCGAAAAGCTCCTATGGGCCTGTTTTCTCACATTGCCCTGTCTAACTAATAGGACCAATATCACCATGTGATTGTAACCCAGAAATTAATCTGTAAATGTTAGCAGCATGAGAGTCTAGGACAAAGTAAAGTGACAGTGGACACATGTGATGATATAGCAAATTTAGACTTTATTTCAAACGTGTTGAATAATGACGATCAGAGCTACTTGTGTATTGAAAATCTCTGAGAAGAATTCTCTGGTTCAATATGGCTGCCATGTTGTCCTGGCAACAGCACCCTGTGTTCCATGTTCTATGTCCCTGACATCATCGCTTCTATCGCCATGGATACCTTTATTACATCAAAAGCTAGAATTCCACTGTAAAAATATCTCCTGGTGAGGTCAGGATTGACTCAGGACTTCAACACAACATTTGCCACACATTTCTACAGAGCAAAGCGGTTCATACAGAAACATAACAATGAGTTGTTTTGGACGGAGGTCTAACAAGGCGGCTCGGATCAAGTATCTCCAGGCCCAACTGAGGGCAGCAGTCGAAGCAAACGACACCCTGCTGAAGGAGGTCCAGGGAGAGAAGGATCAGAGGGTCAAGGAGGTCCAGAAAGAGAAGGACCAGTGGATCCAGGAGGTCCAGAGAGAGAAGGACCAGTGGATCCAGGAGATCCAGAGAGAGAAGGATCAGAGGATCCAGGAGGTCAGAGCTCAAAAAGAGGAGAAAACAAGACTGCAGGAGCAGGTGAGCCGACTCCAGAGAGAGAAGTGTGATCTGGAGAAGGCTTTACTGCAGTCCAAGGACTCCAACAAGTCTGTCCAGCTCCAACTGGAAACCACCACTGGGAAGAACACTTCTCTACTTGAGGCTTTGGTGAAGAAGGACAGAGCGCAGCAGACGGCAACGCTCCAGATCCAGGCCTTGAAAGTGGCTGTTCAGAAGTCTGCAGAACAGGCCCAGAAGGACAAGGCCATGGCCCAAACTCACCAGGAGCAGAACCAGGCCCTGTGTGAGAAACTGCATACGTTAAAAGAGTCAATGGCAGCTTTAGAGAAGAGGCGTGATGAAGAGATGGAAGTGAAAGATACAACCATCAAAAACTTGGAAACAGAGCAAGCAAAACTCAGGGCAGACAACCAGATGTTCCAGACTCGTATCGGAGAAGCTGAGAGCCGTATAGAAGAGCTCAAGGCCTCGAGTCTGGATCAGGAGACTGACATGAAGAGGCAACATGCAGAGATGGAGAAGTTAAACAAGGCCCAGAAACAGGTGGAGACCTTTAACTCAATCCTCAACCAGAAAAATGTAATTATCACAAAACTGCGGGAAGACCTCACTAAAAGCAAAGAGGAGACGACGAAACTCAAGGGAGAACTGCAGAGAATGACAGAGTTCTGGGAAGAAGCAGAGAAGATGTCGACCCTTTCAGAGAGCACTGTGTCGGAGCTGAAGACTCAAATCAAAGAGCTTCAAAACAACGGGACAAAGAAGGAAACAAGCCCCAAACTCCAGGTGAAAAACTCTATTAAATTAGACCTGGGGAACATGGACCGTACCCCCCTGGCACAGTTCTTCGACACTTATATCCAGGAGCCTCAACACGATGCAGCCAAACATTTCAGACAGATGCAAGATTTAAATGGTTTGTTTGAGCAAAAGCTGCTGTCGATGCAGAAGAATCACGACACGGAGCTGGAGACTGTGAGGCAGAGGTGTGACCAGCGTGTGAAGGAGGTTACAGAGGCTGATAACAAAACCATACAGGATCTGAGGAAGCAGATACAGCAGAAGGACCAGGACATCAAGAACAGGACCACAGAGGCGTCTGGACAGAGCCAGACGAAAGGCCGAAACAAACAGGGCCGAAAAAAACAATACTAAGACTTTCAAACTAGTCCGTTCAGAACCAGGCACAGTAACAGTCACTGTGACTGGCTTATACTCATCGCCTCAAGTTTCCAAATAAAAATCTCACCTTTCGCCCTCCGTGGGCGTCTCAAAGCTTGGGTCCTCTACCAGAGGCCTGGGAGCCTGAGGGTTCTGCGCAGAATCTTTTCTGTTCCTTGCTGCACATTTCTGGACCGAGATTTCTCTATTGGCAGAATTCTGAAATTCTGCAAATAGATCTCCGTGATTGTTTGTGTGTGAGGCCGGAGCAGACAAGTGTGTGCTGCTAATGCCGCAGTGAAATCATCAGAATTCACCATTTCTTAGTGAATTTTATTTTTTTTAAAGTCGATGCTGAAAGGGACACTTTGCCTGCATTGCTGATATTTCAGACTTTTTAAAAAATGTCCCGGTATCTCTTTGCACGCGCCATCATCGGCGAATGTCCTGTTTTTTTGCCGATGGTGGTTAACAAGACAAACATCGGCCGATACCGATGTTCAGCCGATGCATCGGTGCATCCCTACCATTATCCCCAAGTCACATGATGCCAACACAAAACAGCACAGTCTATGGCTGGTTCTCCCTGCTGTCAATCACCTACTGGAGGCGGGGCTTCTAACGTCACAGATTGGTGCTACGTCACAAATTGAATCGAGTGATTTTGCTTCCTCTGGAGAATGAAAGAGAAAAATCATTCTTTAACTAAAGCTTGAGGGAATCAATGAAAAAAAGACTCTGGGCCTGTGCATGAGGCCGAACAGAACTGTACTGATGTTTAATAACGTAATGTGGGACCTTTAAAGAGTGTGAGCGCTGACTCCTCCCTCACAACAGGAGCGCCCTCTCCTGTGGGCTGACTCCACCTACACCCACTCCAGCTGGGGGTGTTACCTCCAGGCTCCACCCTTTGGCCTGAACCAGAGGGGAAGTTTGGGAGGTTTAGTTGAGTTTATATTGTTTATAAGTATATGTGAGTTTATAAGTTATTGTCATTATTGACAATTATTATTGCTACAGTTATTTGCCTTTATCCTTAAACTAGTTTAAGTAAATGTAATGTTCTTCTTGTGTTAGGTCAGTTTTTGTCATGTTTAGTTGCTCATTTGATTTTTGCATTGTTTATTTGTATTGTTTGACACATTTTTTGGCCAATTAAAAAGCCTCGTTATTCAAACAATTTTGCGTGTTTCCTGCTGCACCATTGGCCCCTTATAAAGAGTATTTAGTTAAAGTACAACTGAACACTGGTGCCCAGCCGTACTCCGCCCACATGAACGTTATCTATAAAGGGCATTGCCTGGAGAACCAGAGGACGAGGAGGGGGCTTAGAGTTGGGCGTGGTCTGAGCTGTGATTGACACACAAAAAACAGACAGTTGTCATTTCTGCTTAAAGCAATAGTTTACACACCAGAAAGTCTCATTCCCTTGTTTACACATTAAGATAATTGTAGTGCTACACACCTGAACCTAAGCCACTGAATTATCTCAGCAGCAGTGGTTGTCAACTGATGTAATTACATTTTAATCCACTAGATGTCACCAGAATACTCCAACCGGCTCCTGGGGCGTGTGTGAGACTTGGATGGGTTTATATCACTGGCGCAAACAGACACACGTCACACACACCAACTGACATCACACACACCAACTGACGTCACACACACCAACTGACGTCACACACACTAACTGACGTCACACACACCAACTGACGTCACACACACACCAACTGACGTCACACGCACCAACTGACGTCACACGCACCAACTGACGTCACACGCACCAACTGTCGTCACACGCACTAACTGACGTCACGCGCACCAACTGACGTCACACGCACCAACTGACGTCACACACACCAACAGACGTCACGCACACCAACTGACGTCACACACACCAACTGACGTCACGCACACCAACTGACGTCACGCACACCAACTGACGTCACGCACACCAACTGACGTCACACACACCAACTGACGTCACACATACCAACTGACGTCACGTACACCAACTGACGTCACACATACCAACTGACGTCACGTACACCAACTGACGTCACGTACACCAACTGACGTCACGCACACCAACGGACGTCACGCACACCAACTGACGTCACACATACCAACTGACGTCACGTACACCAACTGACGTCACGTACACCAACTGACGTCACGCACACCAACTGACGTCACACACACCAACTGACGTCACGTACACCAACTGACGTCACGTACACCAACTGACGTCACGCACACCAACGGACGCCACACACACCAACTGACGTCACGTACACCAACTGACGTCACGCACACCAACTGACGCCACGCACACCAACTGTCGTCACACACACCAACTGTCGTCACACACACTAACTGGCATATATACATGGCCTAAATTGACTGGCTCCTCCCATTCGGCTGGAATATGCTTTTATATACACTAATATGCATCTGTAAACATAAACAAGAAGCAATTACTGCACAGACAGCAACAAAGCCTGCACACAGTTAAACAGCAATGATGCAAACCAACATTAAACCCCTAAAGCAGGTTAATTATCAAACCCCTCCTTTAAATGGGTGGAGCTAGACAGAGGTCTCACTCCAAAATGGGTTAAAACCATAGACTGTATATATTAACGGACAGAGTCACGCCTATCTCCGCCGTTCTAACTAATGGGTCAAAAAATGTGCTCTACTGGAGCAATCCAAAATGGCCACGAGTGGTCCCGCCCACAAGAAAATTGTGAGAAAACGCATCTGCGCATGCATCAGCCGGCGCAACTCCATTCATTTGAACGAGAGACTTCAAAAATTCACAGCAAGTAAACTAGAGTGGACCAAACAAATGCACCCCCCTCAGCATTGACACACATGTGGAACGGAGCTTTGGGCCAAGAGCCAACTTTTGGACCATCCTGTAAAGAAGTTTTTGAGAGGTCTGCCAATGCTATTTCTACTTCTGGGTCCACCCCCATCGGCCCGGGGTGGTATTGCAAGCATGTCAGCGCACGTCATTTTGGCCACTTTTGAGCTGGGACCCTCCCCCACTGGTTAAAACCAGGAAATGCTCTGCGGCCCTCCCCTTTAATCTGATGCCGCATGGAGCAGGTATGTTAGAAGCAGAGTTCCCTCTAAACAAATGAATAAACATGTTTAAACCTTACTATAGTGTTTGGTGTTTTTAACAAAGTTAACTGCTGTAAAATGGAATGTATGTATGTGAATGAGTGAGTGTGTGGAACTGACAAACTTACACAAACAAGGCCCGGGTTATAAGAGTGTATTTGACAGAACCTGTGTGTGTGTGTGTGTGTGTGTGTGTGTGTGTGTGTGTGTGTGTGTGTGTGTGTGTGTGTGTGGAACCAAGGGTGTACTAAGGGACAAGTGGAGTTGTAAGACTCACTTCGTCACAGTCCCACAGTGGGAAATGTCAGTGTTGCATCACCAGGTGCAGAACAGTAGGAATGAGATGCACACAGCACAAAATAAATGAACAATAACTCTATACTAAAATTGATTAAAATATCTAACTTAAGCTTAATAAAGAAGTATAACATACTGTTTAGGGGCGACACTGGCTCAGTTGGTAGAGCACTGGGCTATGGGCTATGGGTTTGAGCCCACCACAAGACCTACTCCACGACCCCCAATGATGTCTGCTGTCGCTGTGTCCTTGGGCAAGACACTTAACCCCACTTTGCCTGAAGCCCCCGCTGAAAGATCAAGGCTCCTGTGGACTCAGCACCTGCAGGAGGATCAGTGAGGGGCTGGTGCTGAGTGTACTGGGTGCAGCTCTGACTGCCACCCCCGACTCAGAAATGGATTAAGGGAAAGAAAATAGATGGATGGAACATATTGTATATTCTAGTGCAGTATAGTTGTTTGTAAATAGGACAAAGCGACTCAGTAAAGTGACAGTGGACACATGTGGTTCTACTTTGCACATTCTGACATTATTTCAAACTTGTTTAATAATTACAACCAGAACTATTTGTACTTAAAATTAGCACTCTGAGGTTTCCCTGAAATGTAAAGTGCATTATAAATAAAATGTATTATTATTATTATTATTATTAAAATCTCTGAGAAGAATTCTCTGGTTCAATATGGCTGCCTTGTTGCCGTGGCAACAGTACCCTGTGTTCCATGTTCTATGGCTCTGACATCATCGCTTCTATCGCCATGGATACCTTTATTACATCAAGATCTAGAATTCCACTGTAAAATATTTCCTGGTGAGGTCAGGCTTGACTCAGGACTTCAACACAATATTTGCCACACATTTCTACAGAGCAAAGCGGTTCATACAGAAACATAACAATGAGTTGTTTTGGACGGAGGTCTAACAAGGCGGCTCGGATCAAGTATCTCCAGGCCCAACTGAGGGCAGCAGTCGAAGCAAACGACTCCCTGCTGAAGGAGGTCCAGGGAGAGAAGGATCAGAGGGTCAAGGAGGTCCAGAAAGAGAAGGACCAGCGGATCCAGGAGGTCCAGAAAGAGAAGGATCAGAGGATCCAGGAGATCCAGAGAGAGAAGGATCAGAGGATCCAGGAGGTCGGAGCTCAAAAAGAGGAGAAAACAAGACTGCAGGAGCAGGTGAGCCGACTCCAGAGAGAGAAGTGTGATCTGGAGAAGGCTTTACTGCAGTCCGAGGACTCCAACAGGTCTGCCCAGCTCCAACTGGAAACCACCACTGGGAAGAACACTTCTCTACTTGAGGCTTTGGTGAAGAAGGACAGAGCGCAGCAGACGGCAACGCTCCAGATCCAGGCCTTGAAAGTGGCTGTTCAGAAGTCTGCAGAACAGGCCCAGAAGGACAAGGCCATGGCCCAAACTCACCAGGAGCAGAACCAGGCCCTGTGTGAGAAACTGCATACGTTAAAAGAGTCAATGGCAGCTTTAGAGAAGAGGCGTGATGAAGAGATGGAAGTGAAAGATACAACCATCAAAAACTTGGAAACAGAGCAAGCAAAACTCAGGGCAGACAACCAGATGTTCCAGACTCGTATCGGAGAAGCTGAGAGCCGTATAGAAGAGCTCAAGGCCTCGAGTCTGGATCAGGAGACTGACATGAAGAGGCAACATGCAGAGATGGAGAAGTTAAACAAGGCCCAGAAACAGGTGGAGACCTTTAACTCAATCCTCAACCAGAAAAATGTAATTATCACAAAACTGCGGGAAGACCTCACTAAAAGCAAAGAGGAGACGACGAAACTCAAGGGAGAACTGCAGAGAATGACAGAGTTCTGGGAAGAAGCAGAGAAGATGTCGACCCTTTCAGAGAGCACTGTGTCGGAGCTGAAGACTCAAATCAAAGAGCTTCAAAACAACGGGACAAAGAAAGAAACAAGCCCCAAACTCCAGGTGAAAAACTCTATTAAATTAGACCTGGGGAACATGGACCGAACCCCCCTGGCACAGTTCTTCGACACTTATATCCAGGAGCCACAACACGATGCAGCCAAACATTTCAGACAGATGCAAGATTTAAATGGTTTGTTTGAGCAAAAGCTGCTGTCGATGCAGAAGAATCACGACACGGAGCTGGAGACTGTGAGGCAGAGGTGTGACCAGCGTGTGAAGGAGGTTACAGAGGCTGATAACAAAACCATACAGGATCTGAGGAAGCAGATACAGCAGAAGGACCAGGACATCAAGAACAGGACCACAGAGGCGTCTGGACAGAGCCAGACGAAAGGCCGAAACAAACAGGGCCGAAAAAAACAATACTAAGACTTTCAAACTAGTCCGTTCAGAACCAGGCACAGTAACAGTCACTGTGACTGGCTTATACACATCGCCTCAAGTTTCCAAATAAAAATCTCACCTTTCGCCCTCCGTGGGCGTCTCAAAGCTTGGGTCCTCTACCAGAGGCCTGGGAGCCTGAGGGTTCTGCGCAGAATCTTTGCTGTTCCTCGCACTGCACATTTCTGGACCGAGATTTCTCCATTGGCAGAATTCTGAAATTCTGCAAATAGATCTCCGTGATTGTTTGTGTGTGAGGCTGGAGCAGACAAGTGTGTGCTGCTAATGCCGCAGTGAAAATCATCAGAATTCACCATTTCTTAGTGAATTTTTTTTTTTTAAAGTCGATGCTGAAAGGGACACTTTGCCTGCATTGCTGATATTTCAGACTTTTTTTTAAATGTCCCGGTATCTCTTTGCACGCGCCATCATCGGCGAATGTCCTGTTTTTTTGCCGATGGTGGTTAACAAGACAAACATCGGCCGATACCGATGTTCAGCCGATGCATCGGTGCATCCCTACCATTATCCCCAAGTCACATGATGCCAACACAAAACAGCACAGTCTATGGCTGGTTCTCCCTGCTGTCAATCACCTCCTGGAGGCGGGGCTTCTAACGTCACAGATTGGTGCTACGTCACAAATTGAATCGAGTGATTTTGCTTCCTCTGGAGAATGAAAGAGAAAAATCATTCTTTAACTAAAGCTTGAGGGAATCAATGAAAAAAAGACTCTGGGCCTGTGCATGAGGCCGAACAGAACTGTACTGATGTTTAATAACGTAATGTGGGACCTTTAAAGAGTGTGAGGGCTGACTCCTCCCTCACAACAGGAGCGCCCTCTCCTGTGGGCTGACTCCACCTACACCCACTCCAGCTGGGGGTGTTACCTCCAGGCTCCACCCTTTGGCCTGAACCAGAGGGGAAGTTTGGGAGGTTTAGTTGAGTTTATATTGTTTATAAGTATATGTGAATTTATAAGTTATTGTCATTATTGACAATTATTATTGCTACAGTTATTTACCTTTATCCTTAAACTAGTTTAAGTAAATGTAATGTTCTTCTTGTGTTAGGTCAGCTTTTGTCATGTTCAGTTGCTCATTTGATTTTTGCATTGTTTATTTGTATTGTTTGACACATTTTTTGACCAATTAAAAAGCCTCGTTATTCAAACAGTTTTGCGTGTTTCCTGCTGCACCATCGGCCCCTTATAAAGAGTATTTAGTTAAAGTACAACTGAACACTGGTGCCCAGCCGTACTCCGCCCACATGAACGTTATCTATAAAGGGCATTGCCTGGAGGACCAGAGGACGAGGAGGGGGCTTAGAGTTGGGCGTGGTCTGGGCGTGGTATCAGGTATCAGATAAAAAGACACATATGTCTCATGTCCTTGCCTGTTAGTACAACCAACCGCACTGCAAAAACTCGCCATTTCGGCTGTAATTCGCTGAAACAGGTTATTTTGGTCAAGTTTCTGAAGGCTCGCAGTTAGACTTCCGCCGTCTGTCATGGAGAGTGGGCGTGGCTGCGGGTCAATACAAATAAACTTGCCTTGCTTTGCCTAAAATGTCATTTTTTAATCACACAAACGGATGAGGACGGAGGTCGTTTTGCTGAACGTGCGGAGCCTGAACGTACCTGTGCTCGTTCGTTTCTGTTTCTGTTTTTTTTCTTTGCCTTTCATGTTCGTATGAATCATTGTGTTGAATTAAAACAGTGTGGAAGAGCAGACATGTCCACAGGGGAAAGAGAGCTCAGTGTGGGGACAACATGAGCTCTGTCTGGTCCTCAGGGAAATACTGTTATTAATGCTTCAGAAATGTCTAAAACAACAGGCTATTTTTAGAACAAGTCATGTGACCAACGCTACTGAGCACAAAGTACACGCGTGTTTTATCCAAGGCAAGTTTATGATTCAGTCCCTCGGTTTTAATCACAGATAAACAGAACTGAAACTGAACCTGGATTTGAACATTATCAGAGAAGCAGCCTGTCTCACATTTTCAGGAAGTTGATAATTTATCTGCATAAACCTGAAACGCCCATGGACGGACTGAGGCTGTGGATCCAGGACTGAGGCTGTGGATCCAGGACCGAGGCTGTGGATCCAGGACTGAGGCTGTGGATCCAGGACCGAGGCTGTGGATCCACAGCCTCAGTCCTGGATCCAGGACTGAGGCTGTGGATCCAGGACTGAGGCTGTGGATCCAGGACGGAGGCTGTGGATCCAGGACTGAGGCTGTGGATCCAGGACTGAGGCTGTGGATCCAGGACGGAGGCTGTGGATCCAGGACGGAGCCTGTAGACCCATGACTGAGGATGTAGACCCATGACTGAGGCTGTAGATCCAGGACTGAGGCTGTAGATCCAGGACTGAGGCTGTAGATCCAGGACTGAGGCTGTAGATCCAGGACTGAGGCTGTAGACCCAGGACTGAGGCTGTAGACCCAGGACTGAGGCTGTAGACCCAGGACTGAGGCTGTAGATCCAGGACTGAGGCTGTAGACCAGTCCACAGGTGCAGCTAAAAGAGGTCCCATCATCACGGCATGACACAGAGAATGGGACAGCGGATGAATAGCAATGAACAGACTACAGCTGAAGCCCGAGTGACGACAGATGAAGTTGGAGGTCTGCGATGAACAGACCCAGTTTTTATTATTATCGTGCACAGTTACAGAGAAGAGTTTAACAACAATTAAAACAGTTTTTTTCTTTCAGTCAGACAGAGTTAAATACTACAAGTAGATATTCTGTGTTTATGCGTAAATACAGAACGACTGCTTCCTTGAACAATTACTAATTATACTACTGAGAGTGGGAAGGGGAGGGGAGGGAGGGGGGGGGGACACATTTACTTTTGTGGATTTCCGCAGAAGTCACAAGTTTTCATGTGACAGATTGACAGAAAGTTTATTGATGATTCACTGTGAACTGGAGGCTCTGAATCACAGACAGTCTGTCTCCGAACATCCTGAGTCCAATCGGAGATCATCAGAAGTCAAGTATTTACAGGCGCAAGGATCAGAACCGTCATTTGTGGATCTCCTTACAAGTACTGGATCACTTAAGACAAGAATGACACACATTAAAAACACACAGAGCGATAAAAAACAACCAATAGTCATAAATATCCACAGTGTATTAAAAAGGGTGAATATACTGGATACATGCGAGGGCTGGGAACGGTGTCTGAGTAGATACACTCTCGCTTCTCAGCAAGAAGGTCCTGGGTTCGAATCCCGGTCGAAACAGGGCCTTTCTGAGTAGGGTTTGCATGTTCTCCCCGTGTCTGCGTAGGTTTCCTCCGGGTGCTCCGGTTTCCCCTACCACTAAAAAACATGCACAACAGTCTGAATGTAAATGAGAGAGTGAATGGGACAGTGTGTTCTGGACTCGCTTCTGTCATCACCGTGTGTGGAAGGATTGGAACAATATCTGACTCTGAACATTGTGAAGCACTTTGGGTGATCTTGGTCTGTAAAATGCGCTATATAAATAAATATTACTCACTTACTTCTGGGAAAAGGAAATGTCATATTATTTCATATTTATTTATTTGAATCTATAAAAAAAAGATTAGACAGCCCCTAGTATTTTAATTTTATACTGGCACGGGCTTTCCCATGCTAACAGGGTTTCTGTGTAAAGTTGTTCTCCAAGAATACAGCTGCAGCGTCTGTGTCTGAGACCTGTATAGACTTTATAAAACAGCAGTATTTGTTCACAGAGCTGCGCCATAAGTTTATTTTAATATTAAAAAGTACTTCTGTGTTACACTCTTCTCATTCTTTTACATTTAGAGAGGCTGTAGATCAAGGACTGAGGCTGTAGATCCAGGACTGAGGCTCTCTCTGGTCTCCCCCTGTGGTTTCTCTCTCTCTGGTCTCTCTCTGTGGTCTCTCCCTGTGGTCTGTCTTTCTAGTCTTTCTCTGGGTTCTCGGCCCCGGGTTAAACCTACTGAACTAAAGTGGCGCCCATAAACGTTGGACACCTCTGCTCTGTGCTCTTGTTGGTTTGGGAGCTGTCCGTGGTGCTGATGGTGCAGGAGCTGTCCATGGTGCGGGAGCTGTCCATGGTGCTGATGCTGGTTGAGGTGGCTCAAGTTGCATGTATGGAATCCAGGAGGAAGCAGTAAGACTTTGTATGAAATGGGGTCACAGTGTGGGGACAACATGAGCTCTGTCTGGTCCACAGGGAAATACTGTCATAATGCTTCATAAATGTAGAGCTGAAAACAACAGCCTATTTTTAGAACAAGTCATGTGACCAACATCATCGAGCATGAAAACACGTGTGTCAGGGAGTCTCATCCACAGACTGTCAACCATTTTATGACTACTTCATTAAAACCAAGTGAGAAATGTGTAAAAGAATTTGATGGTAAAAATCATCTGAATGTCTCACAATTAACTATTCATTCATCCATTTTCTCCCGCTTGATCCGCTGCCAGGTCCCAAAGGTGAGCCGTCCTCTCTCTCTGTAAATGTTTAAATACCTCTATGGTAAGTTTGTGTAAGCCTCTCAGTCGTACAGGGATTAGTCAAAGAAAAGGAAGGTTTCTCACCCATCATCTGTACTTCTCTGCAGGTTTTCTGACGTTTTGTCCGTAATCCAAAGAACTTTTTCAAGGGAATGAAAATCTCACACCGCAAGTTGGAGATTTATAACCTGTAATCCTGAGGCTAACTCATAAACACAAAGGTGTGTTAAGATGTGGTAGGGAGCAGGTCTAACAACCCTGCTAGGGCTAACGACCCTAACCCATTAGCATGTCACTGGCCTTAGCTATAGGAGGATCTTGGAGTGACGTCGTTGTTTATAGTTTTTTCCGCGCCGGTCACGTGACTGTGTGGCAATACAGCACAGAAAGCTACCTGGATGCTAGAGAGTTAGCTAGTTTTAGACGTACAGGATACAGAATCTGTTGTCTCCTCTCCCAGGCTTTAGCAACAAATAAAGCAAGGCAAAAACTTCATGGTGATACATCCAGTTTATAATTTTTCTCCCTCAGGCCAAAAGACCTCTGGATTAGAAGCATTTACTTTTTCAAATAAAATGTTTCGATACTTGAAGTAAAGTGGACAATACAAACAAAATGAGGCTCATCCTCGACCACAACCCCAGGTCACACACTGTACAGAGACGGGCCTCTTCAGGAACCGTTTTAAAGACCAGTACTTGGCTTGAATATCAAACCGCAGCAACACAAACTCGGAGACGACTCCTTCAAACCATCCAAGCTGCACCAGAGAAAGCCCCATACCCTGTTCAGAGAGCACTTTCCCAGATGTGGCTTACCACCAAGTGGTTCTTTTTACTAAAGCCCAAAGGACGAGAAAGGCCATGGAGACACAGTCCAAACAGACAGACGAAAGTAGGAGGGAGAGGGGAGGTGTATCCCTTACCGTATTGGAGGCGGGAGTCTTTTCAGAGAAACTACAAAAGAATCTTTAGGCCAACACAAAATTCCCCTGTTGTATATACACACCTAATCAACCACGTTATAGACAGAAATTAGTGCAATCCCTAAAGGACCAATACAACCCAGGACACAAACAGAGCAATGTGGTGTATTCAATTAAATGTGACGGTCGGTGAGGTCTAGAGAGAGTGTGCACTGAACCACAAAAAATGTGAGACACCAAAAACAAACTCTACCAGAAACGGACTTTACCAACATCGTAGAGAAATAACTCTAGAAGGGCCACAGTCGGCTGTTCATTGCTCCGCCTCAAAAAACACCAGACCACTCCATGTACCACACCGAGTTACCACAACCGAGACACACATAGGAGATTAAAATTCTGGCACAAGACAAAACTAAGGATTTAGATAAGAGGTGAAAGAAGCCCTATTTTGTGAGGAAACCACAAACCTTCTCTTAAGAGTTGAAGGAGGAGAGATTAAGATTTGTTTTGCCTCCCATCTAAGACAAAAGTCCTAAAAAACAACGCCCTAACAATAGATACGGTCGTGACAGAATGCTAATGATATTAGTATCTTTAGCCCTAGCAGTCGAATAGACCTGCTCCCTACACAACTTAGGTGTGTTTATGAGTTAGCCCTCAGGATTAGGGTTGTGACGAACAACACCCACAGGATAAAATCTCCCAACTCTGAGATTTTCATTCCCTTGATAAAAATTTCTGAGGATTAAGGACGAAACGATGGGAAACCTGCAGAAAGTACAGAAGAAGGTGAGACACCTTCCATTGCGTCACCTCTAATGGAATAATCAATTGTATATACAGTGATTCTGACAGTGGAGAAGCCTTCAGTAACCAGGACAGGGCCTCAGGACAGAAGGGAAGACTAAAGAAAGATTAGATAACCTTTAAATACATCTCACACCGGAGAAAAGTACATGTCACATATGGGCATGGGACAGAATCACTCACAAAATTGTGCAAAAGTAAGAAGTGTGACAACAAGTTAATGCAGTGATTTATTATGTACACGAAACAGTGTTGATAAGTGCAACGTTTTTGTGTTTGTCCTAAGTGCATTAGTGACTTTTTATACAGTCGTGACAGCCGGGGTGGGATAAAGGCCCTCTTCATCATTCTAGGCACTGAGGTGTCTGTCTTCCCAGTGAAGGAGCACCTCCTCATTCCTGTGCAGTGGGGAGTGTTGTTCATGAAGGAGGTGACTATTGACTAGCACCACCAGTCCCTCCACCACCTCCACAATAGGACGCAGGGGCCCTCCAGTCCCCTACACCTCCTCCACAGAGTCCAGGGCCTCCTGTACCCCTCCTACCTCCGCCACAGAGTCCCCGGGGGCCCTCCATGTCACCTCCCCACCTCACCCCCCACACGAGTCCCAGTGACCGGGGCCTCCTGGGACCCTCACCTTATACCTACCACAGAAGTCCAGGGGCCTTCCTGTTACCCCCTTCACCTCCTCCACAGGAGTCCCAGGGTGCCTCCAGTACCCCTCCACCTTCCCTCCCTGACCATTTTGTCGAGTCTGCTCCTGTCCGCGCCTGTTGCTGCCCCGTAGGCCCAGCAACACGGCAGTGTAATTATATGGCAGAGGCTACCCCTTCATGAAAAAGGTCTGCAAAGAGGACCGTGGGCAGTGAGCATTTCCTGTTCCTGGTAGGTACCATAATAAATCCCGACTTTAAAACAAAGCTCATTAGGAATGTTCAATGACTCTTGCTGTCCACCCTGGGAAAAGCCCTGTTCCCAGCTTCTACCCTCTGGCAGAAGATAACTGCTCTCTGAGAGATGCAGGACAGTCTCGGTTACGCTAACGAGTTTTTTATCCACAAGCAGTTTATCAGTGTGAACCAGAAGCACTTATAATGATTTGGCCCATGTTTAGAAACTGTTTTAGGTTAGTCGAACCGTATTTCACAGTTGACCATTGTGTTTACTGTTATTTATTATGTGTTATTATTTCGGTCTCTTTAAAGTATGTTTTATGTCTTGCATTTGTCAGTGCAACACTGTGATACTTTTAGCCTAATGTAATCCAATTTAGTTTTAATTTTATGTACAGCAAATGGCAAATAAACAGAATCTGAATCTGGTCCCTGAGAAGAGGCTCAGTCAGCAGGACCTCAGAAGGTGAAACGGCTGTGAAAGTCAGGAGAAGTGAAAAGAAAAGCGTGAGAAGACAGGCCCTGCTGGGCCCCAGTACTGCATACTAGACCTCACAGCTCTGCCAGCTGTACATCATTGAGCAAATTAAGCAAGAATGGAGTCAAAAAAACACACACCAGATCTAACTGATGAAGAACAATGTAGTAACATGGATGAACTTCCACTTTGTTTATCAGCCCTAAATCAACCAAATAAGATTTGATTTCAACGACTTGTATTAAATACATGAAGAAAACAACAAAACAAAGTCCACCTGAATCTGTGTGAAATGATAGTGAATTTGGCACCATCTGTGATAAAACAACAACACAACACACACGATGGACAAGGCTGTAGACCCAGGACTGAGGCTGTAGACCCAGGACTGAGGCTGTAGACCCCGGACTGAGGCTGTAGACCCAGGACTGAGGCTGTAGACCCAGGACTGACGGCTGTAGACCCAGGACTGACGCTGTAGACCCAGGACAGAGGCTGTAGACCCAGGACTGAGGCTGTAGACCCAGGACTGAGGCTGTAGACCCAGGACTGAGGCTGTAGACCCAGGACTGAGGCTGTAGACCCAGGACTGAGGCTGTAGACCCTCGGACTGCTGCCTGAGACCCAGGCTGAAGGCTTTAATACCCTGGACTGTATCAAACCTGCCACAGCTAATAAATATTTAAATATAAATATTTTTATTTTGTTTAAATATATTTGTAAAGTGTCCCAGTTCATCCCTCCCTCCTCCAGCTTTCTTCGTCTGCTACGCTCAGTCTCCACCTTGCCATCCTCATCCTCAGTCAGACACTTCCAGGTATCATACGGCTCTACAACAGACCTTTTAATGGGTCTTAACATTCTGTCCTGGTATCAGATATAAAAGGGGAGTCCCAGTCAACACTGAAGTCCACACACAGGGACCGAACACATCCACATCACACAGAGGAGAAAAGTTATAGGTATATGCTCTTTAATCCATTTGAAAAGTTACACTTGTTTTACTCATTGGATACACAGGTGGGGGCCTGCACGAGAACCAAACGACAGCATCAAACTAGAGACAGTATGCTTCATTCACCGTCTAGGACAGTGAATTAATGGCAGCTCAAGAGTCTCTTATTACAACAATTTCGTAATACTATAAAGGAGGTCGACTGTGTGGTGTTGATGCGGAGATGTTCCACACACGCCAAAAAATGATCAATATGAGGTAATGAAATGCAAGAATCCAGTGGTATTTCATTCTAAATTTGAAAGTTCATTTCAGGAGGTTTTCGTATTCTCTAAATCCAGTTAAAAACGGTTCTGTGCAAACAACTGAAGAATTCTTTCTTCTTTTTAAATGCATAGATGTTCTAACAAACCTTAATCCCTTTGTGTGTTTTTAAATGTTTTAAAATTACCGTACGGATTTCAATATGTGTTTTTAAAAGGTGAATCTGTGATGATTGATTAAAAACAAATTTCCCAATGGACATAACCCAATCCCTGTCAGAAACCTCTGAAGCAAAGCAGGGTCAGGGCCTGGTGAAGTGCTGTTATGGGAGAGATCAGCGGATACCACAGTGGGGGCGGCTGTGGCTGTATAAGTGCCAAAACTTGGTTGAGTGTGTTGTGGAATGACAAACTTACACAAGAACAAGGCCGGGTTGATAAGAGTGTATTTGACAGAACCTGTGTGTGTGACCTCCCAGTGTGTGTGTGTGTGTGTGTGTGTGTGTGTGTGTGTAGAACAGTGTGTGTGTGTGTGTGTGTGTTGTGTGGTGGAACCAAGGGTGTACTAAGGGACACGTGGAGTTGTAAGACTCACTTCGTCACAGTCCCACAGTGGGGGAAATGTCAGTGTTGCATCACCAGGTGCAGAACAGTAGGAATGAGATGCACACAGCACAAAAAAAATGAACAATAAATCTATACTAAAATTGATTAAATATCTAACTTATAGCTTAATAAAGAAGTATAAGAATACTGTTTAGGGGCGACACTGGCTCAGTTGGTAGAGCACTGGGCTATGGGCTATGGGTTTGAGCCACCACAAGACTACTCCACGACCCCCCAATGATGTCTGCTGTCGCTGTGTCCTTGGGCAAGACAACTTAACCCCATTTGCCTGAAGCCCCCGCTGAAAGATCAAGGCTCCCTGTGGACTCAGCACGCCTGCAGGAGGATCAGTGAGGGGCTGGTGCTGAGTGTACTGGGTGCAGCTCTGACTGCCACCCCCGACTCAGAAATGGATTAAGGGAAAGAAAAAATAGATGGATGGAACATATTGTATATTCTAGTGCAGTATAGTTGTTTGTAAATAGGACAAAGCGACTCAGTAAAGTGACAGTGGACACATGTGGTTCTACTTTGCACATTCTGACAATTATTTCAAACTTGTTTAATAATTACAACCAGAACTATTTGTACTTAAAATTAGCACTCTGAGGTTTCCCTGAAATGTAAAGTGCATTATAAATAAAATGTATTATTATTATTATTATTATTAAAATCTCTGAGAAGAATTCTCTGGTTCAATATGGCTGCCTTGTTGCCGTGGCAACAGTACCCTGTGTTCCATGTTCTATGGCTCTGACATCATCGCTTCTATCGCCATGGATACCTTTATTACATCAAGATCTAGAATTCCACTGTAAAATATTTCCTGGTGAGGTCAGGCTTGACTCAGGACTTCAACACAATATTTGCCACACATTTCTACAGAGCAAAGCGGTTCATACAGAAACATAACAATGAGTTGTTTTGGACGGAGGTCTAACAAGGCGGCTCGGATCAAGTATCTCCAGGCCCAACTGAGGGCAGCAGTCGAAGCAAACGACTCCCTGCTGAAGGAGGTCCAGGGAGAGAAGGATCAGAGGGTCAAGGAGGTCCAGAAAGAGAAGGACCAGCGGATCCAGGAGGTCCAGAAAGAGAAGGATCAGAGGATCCAGGAGATCCAGAGAGAGAAGGATCAGAGGATCCAGGAGGTCGGAGCTCAAAAAGAGGAGAAAACAAGACTGCAGGAGCAGGTGAGCCGACTCCAGAGAGAGAAGTGTGATCTGGAGAAGGCTTTACTGCAGTCCGAGGACTCCAACAGGTCTGCCCAGCTCCAACTGGAAACCACCACTGGGAAGAACACTTCTCTACTTGAGGCTTTGGTGAAGAAGGACAGAGCGCAGCAGACGGCAACGCTCCAGATCCAGGCCTTGAAAGTGGCTGTTCAGAAGTCTGCAGAACAGGCCCAGAAGGACAAGGCCATGGCCCAAACTCACCAGGAGCAGAACCAGGCCCTGTGTGAGAAACTGCATACGTTAAAAGAGTCAATGGCAGCTTTAGAGAAGAGGCGTGATGAAGAGATGGAAGTGAAAGATACAACCATCAAAAACTTGGAAACAGAGCAAGCAAAACTCAGGGCAGACAACCAGATGTTCCAGACTCGTATCGGAGAAGCTGAGAGCCGTATAGAAGAGCTCAAGGCCTCGAGTCTGGATCAGGAGACTGACATGAAGAGGCAACATGCAGAGATGGAGAAGTTAAACAAGGCCCAGAAACAGGTGGAGACCTTTAACTCAATCCTCAACCAGAAAAATGTAATTATCACAAAACTGCGGGAAGACCTCACTAAAAGCAAAGAGGAGACGACGAAACTCAAGGGAGAACTGCAGAGAATGACAGAGTTCTGGGAAGAAGCAGAGAAGATGTCGACCCTTTCAGAGAGCACTGTGTCGGAGCTGAAGACTCAAATCAAAGAGCTTCAAAACAACGGGACAAAGAAAGAAACAAGCCCCAAACTCCAGGTGAAAAACTCTATTAAATTAGACCTGGGGAACATGGACCGAACCCCCCTGGCACAGTTCTTCGACACTTATATCCAGGAGCCTCAACACGATGCAGCCAAACATTTCAGACAGATGCAAGATTTAAATGGTTTGTTTGAGCAAAAGCTGCTGTCGATGCAGAAGAATCACGACACGGAGCTGGAGACTGTGAGGCAGAGGTGTGACCAGCGTGTGAAGGAGGTTACAGAGGCTGATAACAAAACCATACAGGATCTGAGGAAGCAGATACAGCAGAAGGACCAGGACATCAAGAACAGGACCACAGAGGCGTCTGGACAGAGCCAGACGAAAGGCCGAAACAAACAGGGCCGAAAAAAACAATACTAAGACTTTCAAACTAGTCCGTTCAGAACCAGGCACAGTAACAGTCACTGTGACTGGCTTATACACATCGCCTCAAGTTTCCAAATAAAAATCTCACCTTTCGCCCTCCGTGGGCGTCTCAAAGCTTGGGTCCTCTACCAGAGGCCTGGGAGCCTGAGGGTTCTGCGCAGAATCTTTGCTGTTCCTCGCACTGCACATTTCTGGACCGAGATTTCTCCATTGGCAGAATTCTGAAATTCTGCAAATAGATCTCCGTGATTGTTTGTGTGTGAGGCTGGAGCAGACAAGTGTGTGCTGCTAATGCCGCAGTGAAATCATCAGAATTCACCATTTCTTAGTGAATTTTTTTTTTTTAAAGTCGATGCTGAAAGGGACACTTTGCCTGCATTGCTGATATTTCAGACTTTTTTTTAAATGTCCCGGTATCTCTTTGCACGCGCCATCATCGGCGAATGTCCTGTTTTTTTGCCGATGGTGGTTAACAAGACAAACATCGGCCGATACCGATGTTCAGCCGATGCATCGGTGCATCCCTACCATTATCCCCAAGTCACATGATGCCAACACAAAACAGCACAGTCTATGGCTGGTTCTCCCTGCTGTCAATCACCTCCTGGAGGCGGGGCTTCTAACGTCACAGATTGGTGCTACGTCACAAATTGAATCGAGTGATTTTGCTTCCTCTGGAGAATGAAAGAGAAAAATCATTCTTTAACTAAAGCTTGAGGGAATCAATGAAAAAAAGACTCTGGGCCTGTGCATGAGGCCGAACAGAACTGTACTGATGTTTAATAACGTAATGTGGGACCTTTAAAGAGTGTGAGGGCTGACTCCTCCCTCACAACAGGAGCGCCCTCTCCTGTGGGCTGACTCCACCTACACCCACTCCAGCTGGGGGTGTTACCTCCAGGCTCCACCCTTTGGCCTGAACCAGAGGGGAAGTTTGGGAGGTTTAGTTGAGTTTATATTGTTTATAAGTATATGTGAATTTATAAGTTATTGTCATTATTGACAATTATTATTGCTACAGTTATTTACCTTTATCCTTAAACTAGTTTAAGTAAATGTAATGTTCTTCTTGTGTTAGGTCAGCTTTTGTCATGTTCAGTTGCTCATTTGATTTTTGCATTGTTTATTTGTATTGTTTGACACATTTTTTGACCAATTAAAAAGCCTCGTTATTCAAACAGTTTTGCGTGTTTCCTGCTGCACCATCGGCCCCTTATAAAGAGTATTTAGTTAAAGTACAACTGAACACTGGTGCCCAGCCGTACTCCGCCCACATGAACGTTATCTATAAAGGGCATTGCCTGGAGGACCAGAGGACGAGGAGGGGGCTTAGAGTTGGGCGTGGTCTGGGCGTGGTATCAGGTATCAGATAAAAAGACACATATGTCTCATGTCCTTGCCTGTTAGTACAACCAACCGCACTGCAAAAACTCGCCATTTCGGCTGTAATTCGCTGAAACAGGTTATTTTGGTCAAGTTTCTGAAGGCTCGCAGTTAGACTTCCGCCGTCTGTCATGGAGAGTGGGCGTGGCTGCGGGTCAATACAAATAAACTTGCCTTGCTTTGCCTAAAATGTCATTTTTTAATCACACAAACGGATGAGGACGGAGGTCGTTTTGCTGAACGTGCGGAGCCTGAACGTACCTGTGCTCGTTCGTTTCTGTTTCTGTTTTTTTTCTTTGCCTTTCATGTTCGTATGGAATCATTGTGTTGAATTAAAACAGTGTGGAAGAGCAGACATGTCCACAGGGGAAAGAGAGCTCAGTGTGGGGACAACATGAGCTCTGTCTGGTCCTCAGGGAAATACTGTTATTAATGCTTCAGAAATGTCTAAAACAACAGGCTATTTTTAGAACAAGTCATGTGACCAACGCTACTGAGCACAAAGTACACGCGTGTTTTATCCAAGGCAAGTTTATGATTCAGTCCCTCGGTTTTAATCACAGATAAACAGAACTGAAACTGAACCTGGATTTGAACATTATCAGAGAAGCAGCCTGTCTCACATTTTCAGGAAGTTGATAATTTATCTGCATAAACCTGAAACGCCCATGGACGGACTGAGGCTGTGGATCCAGGACTGAGGCTGTGGATCCAGGACCGAGGCTGTGGATCCAGGACTGAGGCTGTGGATCCAGGACCGAGGCTGTGGATCCACAGCCTCAGTCCTGGATCCAGGACTGAGGCTGTGGATCCAGGACTGAGGCTGTGGATCCAGGACGGAGGCTGTGGATCCAGGACTGAGGCTGTGGATCCAGGACTGAGGCTGTGGATCCAGGACGGAGGCTGTGGATCCAGGACGGAGCCTGTAGACCCATGACTGAGGATGTAGACCCATGACTGAGGCTGTAGATCCAGGACTGAGGCTGTAGATCCAGGACTGAGGCTGTAGATCCAGGACTGAGGCTGTAGATCCAGGACTGAGGCTGTAGACCCAGGACTGAGGCTGTAGACCCAGGACTGAGGCTGTAGACCCAGGACTGAGGCTGTAGATCCAGGACTGAGGCTGTAGACCAGTCCACAGGTGCAGCTAAAAGAGGTCCCATCATCACGGCATGACACAGAGAATGGGACAGCGGATGAATAGCAATGAACAGACTACAGCTGAAGCCCGAGTGACGACAGATGAAGTTGGAGGTCTGCGATGAACAGACCCAGTTTTTATTATTATCGTGCACAGTTACAGAGAAGAGTTTAACAACAATTAAAACAGTTTTTTTCTTTCAGTCAGACAGAGTTAAATACTACAAGTAGATATTCTGTGTTTATGCGTAAATACAGAACGACTGCTTCCTTGAACAATTACTAATTATACTACTGAGAGTGGGAAGGGGAGGGGAGGGAGGGGGGGGGGACACATTTACTTTTGTGGATTTCCGCAGAAGTCACAAGTTTTCATGTGACAGATTGACAGAAAGTTTATTGATGATTCACTGTGAACTGGAGGCTCTGAATCACAGACAGTCTGTCTCCGAACATCCTGAGTCCAATCGGAGATCATCAGAAGTCAAGTATTTACAGGCGCAAGGATCAGAACCGTCATTTGTGGATCTCCTTACAAGTACTGGATCACTTAAGACAAGAATGACACACATTAAAAACACACAGAGCGATAAAAACAACCAATAGTCATAAATATCCACAGTGTATTAAAAAGGGTGAATATACTGGATACATGCGAGGGCTGGGAACGGTGTCTGAGTAGATAGCACTCTCGCTTCTCAGCAAGAAGGTCCTGGGTTCGAATCCCGGTCGAAACAGGGCCTTTCTGAGTAGGGTTTGCATGTTCTCCCCGTGTCTGCGTAGGTTTCCTCCGGGTGCTCCGGTTTCCCCTACCACTAAAAACATGCACAACAGTCTGAATGTAAATGAGAGAGTGAATGGGACAGTGTGTTCTGGACTCGCTTCTGTCATCACCGTGTGTGGAAGGATTGGAACAATATCTGACTCTGAACATTGTGAAGCACTTTGGGTGATCTTGGTCTGTAAAATGCGCTATATAAATAAATATTACTCACTTACTTACTGGGAAAAGGAAATGTCATATTATTTCATATTTATTTATTTGAATCTATAAAAAAAAGATTAGACAGCCCCTAGTATTTTAATTTTATACTGGCACGGGCTTTGATGCTAACAGGGTTTCTGTGTAAAGTTGTTCTCCAAGAATACAGCTGCAGCGTCTGTGTCTGAGACCTGTATAGACTTTATAAAACAGCAGTATTTGTTCACAGAGCTGCGCCATAAGTTTATTTTAATATTAAAAAGTACTTCTGTGTTACACTCTTCTCATTCTTTTACATTTAGAGAGGCTGTAGATCAAGGACTGAGGCTGTAGATCCAGGACTGAGGCTCTCTCTGGTCTCCCCCTGTGGTTTCTCTCTCTCTGGTCTCTCTCTGTGGTCTCTCCCTGTGGTCTGTCTTTCTAGTCTTTCTCTGGGTTCTCGGCCCCGGGTTAAACCTACTGAACTAAAGTGGCGCCCATAAACGTTGGACACCTCTGCTCTGTGCTCTTGTTGGTTTGGGAGCTGTCCGTGGTGCTGATGGTGCAGGAGCTGTCCATGGTGCGGGAGCTGTCCATGGTGCTGATGCTGGTTGAGGTGGCTCAAGTTGCATGTATGGAATCCAGGAGGAAGCAGTAAGACTTTGTATGAAATGGGGTCACAGTGTGGGGACAACATGAGCTCTGTCTGGTCCACAGGGAAATACTGTCATAATGCTTCATAAATGTAGAGCTGAAAACAACAGCCTATTTTTAGAACAAGTCATGTGACCAACATCATCGAGCATGAAAAACACGTGTGTCAGGAGTCTCATCCACAGACTGTCAACCATTTTATGACTACTTCATTAAAACCAAGTGAGAAATGTGTAAAAGAATTTGATGGTAAAAATCATCTGAATGTCTCACAATTAACTATTCATTCATCCATTTTCTCCCGCTTGATCCGCTGCCAGGTCCCAAAGGCAGCCGTCCTCTCTCTCTGTAAATGTTAAATACCTCTATGGTAAGTTTGTGTAAGCTCTCAGTCGTACAGGGATTAGTCAAAGAAAAGGAAGGTTTCTCACCCATCATCTGTACTTCTCTGCAGGTTTTCCTGACGTTTTGTCCGTAATCCAAAGAACTTTTTCAAGGGAATGAAATCTCACACCGCAAGTTGGAGATTTATAACCTGTAATCCTGAGGCTAACTCATAAACACAAAGGTGTGTTAAGATGTGGTAGGGAGCAGGTCTAACAACCCTGCTAGGGCTAACGACCCTAACCCATTAGCATGTCACTGGCCTTATCTATAGGAGGATCTTGGAGTGACGTCGTTGTTTATAGTTTTTCCGCGCCGGTCACGTGACTGTGTGGCAATACAGCACAGAAAGCTACCTGGATGCTAGAGAGTTAGCTAGTTTTAGACGTACAGGATACAGAATCTGTTGTCTCCTCTCCCAGGCTTTAGCAACAAATAAAGCAAAGGCAAAAACTTCATGGTGATACATCCAGTTATAATTTCTCCCTCAGGCCAAAAGACCTCTGGATTAGAAGCATTTACTTTTTCAAATAAAATGTTTCGATACTTGAAGTAAAGTGGACAATACAAACAAAATGAGGCTCATCCTCGACCACCCCCAGGTCACACACTGTACAGAGACGGGCCTCTTCAGGAACCGTTTTAAAGACCAGTACTTGGCTTTTGATTCAAACCATCCGCTGCAACACAAACTCGGAGTTCTTAGAACGCTCCAACACCGAGCCCACCAGATCCCCTCAAGCTCGGAGGGAAAGAACAGAGAAACCAAACATGTTCAGAGAGCACTTTCCAGATGTGGCTACCCCAAGTGGTCTTTTACTAAAGCCCTAAGGACGAGAAAGGCCAGAGACACAGTCCAACAGACAGAAGAAAGTAGGAGGAGAGGGGTGTCCTTACCGTATGTGGCGGGAGTTTCAGAGAAACTACAAAGAATCTTTAGGCAACACAAAATCCCTGTGTATTTCAAACCTTTAACACGTTTAGACAGAAATTAGTGCATCCCAAAGACAAAACACCCAGACACAAACAGAGCAATGTGGTGTATTCAATTAAATGTAGTGAAGAGGAGTGCACTGACCACTATATTGGAGAAACCAAACAAACTCTACAGAAACGACTTTACCAACATCGTAGAGAAAACTCTAGTGGGCCACAGTCGGCTGTTCATCTCCGCCTCAAGAACACCAACCACTCCATGAACCACACCGTGGACCACACCGTGGACGACAAGGAGATTAAAATTCTGGCTCAAGACAAAAATTGGTTTGAGAGAGAGGTGAAAGAAGCCCTTTTTGTGAGGAAACACAAACCTTCTCTTAAGAGAGGAGGAGAGTTAAGATTTGTTTTGCCTCACATCTAAGACAATGTCCTAAAAAACAACGCCCTAACTATAGATAAGGTCAGTGACGTGCTAATGAGTTAGGATCGTTAGCCCTAGCAGTCGTTAGACCTGCTCCCTACACATCTTAGGTGTGTTTATGAGTTAGCCTCAGGATTAGGGTGTGACTAACAACACCCACAGGTTATAAATCTCCAACGTCTGAGATTTCATTCCCTTGAAAAATTTCTGAGGATTAAGGTCGAAACGTTGGGAAAACCTGCAGAAGTACAGATGATGGTGAGACACCTTCCTTTGCGTCACCTCTATGGTATATTCAATTGTATATACAGTGTTTCTGACAGTGGAGAATCCTTCAGTAAACCAGGACAGGGCCTCAGACAGAAGGGATGGACTAAAGATAAGATTAGATATACTTTATACATCTCACACCGGAGAAATGTACATGTCACATTTGGCATGGACAGAATCACTCAAGAATTGTGCAAAAGTAAGAAGTGTGCAACATGTTAATGCAGGATTTATTATGTACAAGAAACAGTGTTGATAAGTGCAAGTTTTTGTGTTTGTCCTAGTGCATTAGTGACTTTTTATACAGTCTGACAGCGGTGGGGATAAAGGCCCTGCTTCTTCTTGCACTGAGGGTGTCTGTCTTCCAGTGAAGGAGCTCCTCCTCAGTCCTGTGCAGTGGGAGGTGTTGTTCATGATGGAGGTGACTTTGACTAGCACCTCCTGTCCCTCACCTCCTCCACAGAGACCAGGGGCCTCCTGTCCCTCACCTCCTCCACAGAGTCCAGGGGCCTCCTGTCCCTCACCTCCTCCACAGAGTCCAGGGGCCTCCTGTACCTCACCTCCTCCACAGAGTCCAGGGGCCTCCTGTCCCTCACCTCCTCCACAGAGTCCAGGGGCCTCCTGTACCTCACCTCCTCCACAGAGTCCAGGGGCCTCCTGTCCCTCACCTCCTCCTGACCAGTTTGTTCAGTCTGCTCCTGTCCCGCTCTGTGCTGCCCGGGGCCCAGCACACGGCAGTGTAGTATATGGCAGAGGCTACCAGAGTCATAAAAGGTCTGCAAAGAGGACCGTGGGCTGTGAGCTTCCTGTTCTGGAGGTTCTTTATAAATCCAGACTTTTAAACAAAGCTCTTAGGATTGTTAATGACTCTTCTGGCCACCCTGGGAAAGCCATGTTCCAGCTTCTTCCCTCTGGCAGAAGATATTGCTCTCTGAGATGCAGGACATCTCGTTACGCTAACAGTTTTTATCCACAAGCTGTTATCAGTGTGAACAGAGCACTTTAATGATTTGCACTTGTTTTGAAACTGTTTTAGTCGATCGATTTCACAGTGACATTTGTTTACTGTTTTATTTGTTTTATTTCTGTCTTTTAATGTTGTTTTATGTCTGCATTTGTCTGTGCACACTGGAGACTTTTTGCTAATGTATTCCAATGTGTTTTTTTTTTTACTGCAAATGGCAAATAAACTGAATCTGAATCTGGTCCTGAGAAGAGGCTCAGTCTGAAGGACCTCAGAAGGTGGAAACGGCTGTGAAGTCTGGAGATGGTGAAAAGAAACGGTGAGAAGACAGGGCCCTGAGGGGCCCCAGTACTGCAGACTAGACTCACAGCTGCCATGCTGTACATCTTTGAGCATATTAGCATGAATGGATCTAAAAACAACTCCAGATCTGTGACTGATGAAGAACAATGTAGTAACATGGATGGAACTTTCAATTTGTGTATAGCCCTAAATCACAAAATAAGTTTTGTTTCACGTCTTGTATTAAATACATGAAGAATATCACAAAACAAAGTCCTCTGAATCTGTGTGAAATGATGGTGATTTGGCTCCATCTTGTGATTAAACTACAACACTACACGAGGGACAGGCTGTAGGCCCTGGACTGAGGCTGTAGGCCCTGGACTGAGGCTGTAGGCCCTGGACTGAGGCTGTAGATCCAGGACTGAGGCTGTAGACCCAGGACTGACGCTGTAGACCCAGGACTGACGCTGTAGACCCAGACCTGAGGCTGTAGACCCTGGACTGAGGCTGTAGACCCTGGACTGAGGCTGTAGACCCAGGACTGAGGCTGTAGACCCAGGACTGAGGCTGTAGACCCAGGACTGAGGCTGTAGACCCTGGACTGAGGCTGTAGACCCAGGACTGAGGCTGTATACCCAGGACTGTTCAAAACTGCCAACAGCTATTATATTTATATATATTTTTTATTTTGTTTAAATTATTTTGTAAAGTGTCCCAGTTCATCCCTCGCCTCCTCCAGCTTTTCTTCGTCTGCTCCAGTCTCCACCTCCTCGTCATCCTCAGTCAGACACTTCCAGGTCTACGGCTCTACATCAGACCTTTTTTGGGTCTTAACATTCTGTCCTGGTTTCAGATATTAAAGGGGAGGTCCTGTCAACACTGAAGTCCTCACACAGGGACCGAACACATCCACATCACTCAGAGGAGAAAGTTTAGGTAGAGGCTCTTTAATCATTTGAAAAGTTACACTTGTTTTAATCATTGGATACACAGGTGGGGGCCTGCCACGAGAACCACACGACAGATCAAACTAGTGACAGTATGCTTCACTCTAGGACAGTAATTATTGCAGCTCAAGAGTCTCTTTTTCAACAATATCGTTTACTTAAAGGAGGGTGACTGTGTGTGTTGATGCGGAGATTTCACACACTGCAAAAAATGATCAAATATGAGGTAATAACTGCTAGAATCCAGTGGTTTTCATTCTAATTTGAGTTCATTCTGGAGGTTTTCTCTAAATCCAGGTTAAAAACGGTTCTGTGCAAACAACTGAAGAATTCTTTCTCTTTTAATGCATTGTTGTTATACATGATCTTAATCCCTTGTGTGTTTTTAATGTTTTAAAATTACCGTTCTGATTTCAATTGTGTTTTTAAAGGTGATTCTGTGATGATTGATTAAAACAAGATTTGCCAATGGGACATAACCATATCCCGTCAGACCTCTGAAGCTAAGCAGGGCAGGGCCTGGGTAGTGCTGTGATGGGAGACTTCTGCGGATACCACAGTGGGGCGGCTGTGGCTGTTAAGTGCCAAAACTGTGGTTGTGTCCTTAGGCAAGACACTTCCCCCACATTAGAATGAGTCTGGTGTGTGTGTGAATGGTTGGTGGTGGCTGATTGGCGCATACTAGTTGCCTCGCTTCTGTCAGTGTGCCCCAGGGCAGCTGTGGCCACAGTAATGTTTTATCGCCACCGTCTATGGAGTGAATAAATAATGACATGTGAAGCGTCCTTGAGTGTCCTGAAAAGCGCTGTATAAAACCAGTGCATTATTATTAATATTATGATTTAGTTTTATTTCAAGAAGTATTGATTTTCTCATTCCAAAGAGACATTTCTTGCATCTTTTTAAAACATCATTTTACTCAGAATGTGCTCAAATGAAGATGATTTTTTGCCAAATTTGGGCAATTTTTGACTTACTTTTCCTCACCTTTTGCAGTGCAGTGTTTCATTAACCATGTAACTATAGCAACACATGACACTTGATGGTTACAGAGTCCGGCGTGGACACGATGCCGCCAACGCCGCCGAAATGAGCGTTCCTTGAATAAGCAGAAGCAGAGTCAGTGGCTAAAGTGCTTGTTCAGCTGTGCGCCTGCAGAAGGTCCTCCGTGATCCCCTGCGAGGCCAGCTCCGATAACACATTGTCCAGGTAGTTGGGGTCCGGGTAGCCGTGTCCCGACAGGTTGGACATCATCTCCGTTTTGTGGTGGATGCCGTTCCACACGACCGTATCGGGTTCTCCGGTGGTGCTGGACGTCCCCACGGTGAAGATCAGGCGCCGCATCCAGGCCACTTTCAGCAGCTCCAGCACCTGACGGAAAAATGCAAGCAACAAAAGTAAAAGATATGGAAAGAAATGATGAATATAAAATTAAATATGATTAAATATTAGATATACACTAGATTTAACCATTTGGATGTTTCTATGTAACTATTATCCTTTTATGTATTTTATTTTATTTTTAACCGTTATAGCACATTTCACATGGGTGCATTAAAAAAGAATATATATATATATGCACTTAACTGTAGCATATACAAAAAAGTAAATATACAATCCTTCAGTTGTTGCAACGAAGCAGAACTGTTTTTTTAAACCTTTGAACATTAGAGAAGAAGCCTGTCTCACATTTTCAAGAAGACTGTTCCTGATTTGAGCTCTTTTGAATGTTCTGGAAACAGCAGCGAGTCCTGAGTGTCTCTGAAACTGTTATTTTGTGTTAATTTTCTTGCTTTTTTCTGCCTGAGATGTTGCTGCAGTTCAGTGTTCATGGTTTTACACTGGTCCAGACCAGAGCAGAGAGGATTCATGGTTTTACACTGGTCCAGACCAGAGCAGAGAGGATTCATGGTTTTACACTGGTCCAGACCAGAGCAGAGAGGATTCATGGTCCGAACCAAGTGGATCGAGTGAAAATCCACAGGAGGAATGCTAATTAAGAATTTAGCATTTTACTTGAGCAGACAAAATGAACCAAGCGGCTCCTGCTGCTGTGACCTGAAGGACTGTTGTTGTTATTATTATTATTATTGTTAGATTTTTAGATTTATTAGTTTTGTTTGGATGGATGTGTTTCTGCTGCTGCTGGACACCTGCATTTCTCCAACAGGATCAGTAAAGTATCTAACTATCTGGATAAATCTGACATTCTTCCTCCCCACATTCAGGAAGGTTAAGATGAAGGAGAGGAGACCTTTAAGCTTAGAGATTTTACACTTGCTGTTTTATTATACTAAAGTTATAGATTTTAAAAAGGTAGAGATTTTACTTATTTTAGTATAGAGTTCACTTATTTCCCTACTGCGGGAATAAATAATGTTATCTATCCATCCATTTTCTTCCCCTTAATCCATTTCTGGGTCGGGGGGGTGGCAGTCAAAGCTGCACCCAGTCCACTTAGCACCAGCCCCTCACTGATCCTCCTGCAGGTGCTGAGTCCACAGGAGCTGAGATCTTTCAGCGGAGGCTTTTGGGCAAAGTTGGGTTAAGTGTCTTGCAACACTGTTGCAAGAATAGATGTTATCTATTTGATTTTTAATGATTGTACTGTTTTACTATGGATTTGTTTTAATTAGTCTTTCATTGTGCAGCACTTTGGAAACAGTTTATGAAATGTGCTAAATAAATAGTACATAAAGTGGATTGAAAGTGAATTTTTGAGTATTCAGAAACACTTTTATACATTATACAATGATGATGAAGTCTTTTACTTAACAATCATACTTAGAGACACCACGATGGATGGATCAAAGTGAGGTTGTGGTCGTACCTTGCGTCCTTTGCCGTTGTCTGGGAGGAAACAGAATCTGGGGAAGCCTCTGCAGGAGTACGGCTGTCCTGGGTTTGGATGCTCTGGACTCTGCACAAGAGAAGGGTAGCTTTAAAACACACTTCTGACCATCAATGTCCATCATGTTTGTAGGACAGGGCTAGAGTTAGGGCAGGGTTAGGTTAGGCTGCGGTCAAATGCGCAGCCTAAAGCCTGGTTAAAGTGGGCCAGGGCCAGCTTCGCAATTAGATCCGGGCTTTAGGTGCTATGTGACCGCGGCATGTGTGCCTCAGCACGATTCCAGGATCATGCTGAGGCCCGGATCAAAACTGAGCCCAGGGCCCGCTTCCCAGCGCGGATGAGGGGGGTCAGTGTCGCGGGGAGTGAGGTGTGGTAGGGACTTGATATTGTGCGTCACATTACGTCTTCCTGTAAATCGCATTTTCAGTCTCTCCTGCACTTTCGTATTCTCCGCTGTGTTAAACCTTTCATATAAGCCCCGGGCCGTGGTATATCCTACGGATATAGCTCTCCTCTGTCCTGACCCTCGCTCTCAGTGTGGTGCTAATGCAACAACACTTCAGACATTCAAGAATCAGTCTTTATTTAATCACCAGAACACACACACACACACACACACACACACACATGCTCCGGTCGCTCGTAGCCACTTTTCTGTCTTTCATTTATTCATTCTCAGCGCTTTACGCTCGTTACTATAAAGGCGCGCTCCCGTGTCCACGGCGCGCCCGCACACACAGACAACACACATGTGTCCCACCGCTGCATTTTGGGGAAAGACATATCTCACACTTGTTCACACTTGTTCACACTATGCTCGAGCCTGCTAGCTGCAGTAGCAGAATGTAAACAGGAAAAAAAGCGGGAACTCAACTCGGACAACGTGGTAGTCACTGGAGTTATTAGCGCCACCAGCTGGACCGGGCGTCGTACTACTCTGGCACGGTTCAGAAAACACGTTCATGTGACCGCGGGGCGTTTTCACATGCCTGTGCAGGGCAGGGCTAAGTTAGTTAGGGCAGGGCTAGGTTAGAGTTAGGGCAGGGCTAGGTTAGAGTTAGGGCAGGGCTAGGTTAGAGTTAGGGCAGGGTTCATATAAATCTAACAGAATCAATGATTGTTGTCCTTTTTACCAACATTATTCCTATTGATTAAACGCCACAATATAGAAAGGATTCTTCTGTTTAATTATGTACATTTCCTTCTCTAAAAGTCAGCTCAGAGCAAAGCGAAGCAGCACCTGTATTCCTGGAGGGATGCTGTAGATGATCTGGATGGTTCCGCAGTCCGGATGCCCCGGCAGAGACTGAGAGATGCTGTAGATCTCCATCTTGCCCTTGGGCTGCGTCCCCGTCTTCTCGCCGTAGATCGTCTTACAGGAGGGACACTGCAGGCTGCCGTCCTGGGAACATGTACAGTCAGAGCATTAATCCTCGGACTCTGAGGAGCAGGGCCTGGTCTCGTACTGGTCCCCAGAGTCAGGACCAAACATGGGGAGGCAGTGTTCTATACAGCTCGGATATGGACTGTCCTCTACCATCTGACCATGATAACTGATTCCATTCTGTACTTTTAGTCTCTTTTATCTTAGGAGTTTTAATCCCAATACCTTTATGCTACAGTTTTAATATGAAATGATTGGACATCTCATTATGTTTAGTTTTTGATGCAGTTTGATGTTTATAAATTTCTCTTGTGAAGAACTTTGAATTGCCTTATACACACATTGGGCTGTACAAATAAATGATTGGATTGATTGATGTGTGGCAGCAGAGCTCACCAGACTGAACCCATGACTGTGGAATATGGTTTAAATGGGTTAAACAGGTAAATACATTGTGCACATATAGAGTATTATCTGTAATATCTACCATACTTTCTGGATTGTAAAGGTGCACCTGTATATAAGCCGCACCACCTAAATTTGAAAAGAAAATCAATGGTGTCCACATTACACCTGAATATAATTTAAAAAAAACTAAGACATCCAGAACTCTGCCTGATCCCCCACACCTGCTCCAGAGAACACATCACGCCCATCCTCAAACAACTCCACTGGCTCCCCAGTCTCATACATGGTACAATCTAAGGTCCTCCTCTTTACCCACCCCTCCATAACCTGGACCCCTCATACCTCGGTTCTGAACCCTGAGGACCGGGTCTTCTGAACCCTGAGGACTGAGCCTCAAGAACCCTAAGGACCGAGCCTTCTGTTTCGTTTCAACCGCAGCAGCTGGACTCAGTTTGTTTATAGGAATATAATGCATTTATATCAAACTCATTCAATAAAAGTCATTTGGTCCACATTCCTTCGTAATAAAAAGTCACAGACTCAAAAAGTGAACTATTAAACTTTCCACAAATGCTCAATGGTTTTCTTGTTTTTTTTGAGTCTACACTAAAGCCGTGTACCTTTGTGCCGTTGTTGTACATGGCGAGCATACAGAGCATGTGCAGCGTGTGGCCGCACTTGATGAACTTCCCCACGGCGGCGGCTTCGATGACCGGGCTGCGCTCTTCTTTGGCTGCGGCTTCGTACGTGGAAGGGTTGGAGAGCTGGTCCATGCAGATGATGCAGTCCTGGCGAGAACACAGGTCTTTTACTACAGTCCAGGGGTTCCCAAACCGAGGGGCACGGGAAAAATGAATGAACGGAAACACAGCAGGCTAAATGACACTGCTAGCATAAGATGGACACATTTTTGACACATTACAATCTGCATTGAGAGCTGAGGTTTATAGTAATTACAATGTGTGAAATAATGCAATGGACAAAATGTGTGGAGAGACCGACTCCCACTGATGTCTGGTGCCGTTGGGCTCTCATGGAGTGATTCAAATTGGCCTCGGGGGCTGGAAAAGGTGAAAAAACGCATCTGCGCATGAGTCAGCTGCACGAGCTCCATTAATTTAAATGAGTGCTTTCAAAAATTCACAGCGACTAAACTAGACTGGTCCAAAACACCCCCCTCAGCATTGACACATGTGGAACGGAGCTTTGGGCCAAGAGCCAACTTTTGGACCATCCTGTAAAGACGTTTGAGAGGTCAGCTAACGCTATATGTTAGCATTGGCTAATTCTTATTCCGGGTCCACTCCCATCGGCCCGGGGTGGTGCTGCAGCATGTCAGCGCACGTCATTTTAGCCACTTTTGAGCCGGAACCCGCTCCCACTGGTTTGAACGTGACTGCTCACCTCGTCAGGCACTCCCACCACCACCTCCATGTATCTCTGGATCACCTCCTCCGGCCTCTGACCACAGGCTGCAAACAGGACACACCAGGAAGACACCAGTGAGTGCTGCTCCAAAACAAACCATCATAAGCCTTTTCTTACATGTTGTACTTAGTATAATATCAAAATATGAATTAAATCCTATTCATATGTGAAACACAGACAGGGACGTTGGTCGTGGATGGCAATGGGGAAAGCAGAGATGTGGACTGTGGTTAAAACAGAGACGTTAAAACAAAGTACATGCAAAGGACAAGGTCAAATCAAATCAAATGCTTACAATATTTCTGAGCGCTTAGTGTAAGAAAAAAGGCAAAACAAATATAATTCTAAACTAAAATATTAGTGATGACATTTTTGGATGACATTTTCCTAATTAAAAAAATAAAATAATTATAAGGCAAAAAGTAAAGAGCGATTGCGAATGTCGTCTCAATATTGACTTTGTGCGTTAGAATGTGAAATCAAGTCCAAAGTAGAAAACATATTTGAACACGTATTAAGTATATAAAAAAGTAAGCTCTGTTTAACTGGAGAAAATCCCAAAAGTGAAACTAGAAGAAAAATTGGGACTAAGTTTTGTAATTGTGTCGATTGCACCACAAGACAAAGACACGTGCCCAGACCTGCTGCTCTCTGAGGGGAAAGAAAACCTCCCTTTTATCTGATAGACACAGATAATAGATTTTATTCATAACGCACCTTACATATGCTAGTGCTAATGATCATTTATGGACCGATAATCATCACTTTGTTTTGGTGGGATTTCCCGTTTGTGAAGAGAATGGATTATTTTCCCCATGACAATCTTTTCGGGTCAAGGTCATAGAAAAACCAACAGTAGCATATTTCATAATCATGGGTTAAAGTTTCATTAAAAAGGCACATCCTCTAAAAGTCCCTTCATAACATCACACGAGGCTCTGTGTGATTCAGCCACATCCTGCTCGGGTGATGTTACATGTCACAGTCCAAGGCACAAACTAGAGTGCAGTAGATTTACAGGATCGTATCTGTGTCCAACAAAGAGGAGGCTTCAGTGACAGCTCAGGCGGACTGCAGTAGATGCTTTTGATCAGCTCAGATTCATTCATTTAAAGTAGAACTGAACTACAAACATGAGGTGCCAGGGGGTTAAATATACACATTATTCTTAGTAGATAACAGTAAAATTATGCAGGCGACCCAGACTTTGTTTTTATATTTACGAGCTCCAGCCGTGGACATGACAGACCTGGGTTATGACCTACAGTCCAGCCATCTACACACACAGCTATAAAAATACACACTGATTTGTTTTCCCTGTAATTATGTATTCACCACATTTTTGTTTTCTATACTTTTACCAAACTCTTTCAAATATGTTTTACTTGAATTCATGTGATTTTCCGTTCTCATTATTCCCACCTGTGACCACTGTGACATTACTTGCCGTGATGAACACCCGAGAGTGGGGTCGAAACGCGTCGCAAAGTCCCTACAATATCAAAGGATTTTTATTTTAGGGTCAAAGTGCCTCGGACCTTTTCCTCTTTGTTTTCCAAGAGTCCAACCTGTTCGAAGAAAGTCATCCTCACAGTCTTGCTCCAGTGAAAAACATGGCACAGACATGACACCTCTCACTCGGACGTCAAACGCCAGTCGCTGAACACTGGACAATGGCATGGGGTGAGTGAGGCGCTAGCAGGGTGCATGGGTGCGGGCTACCTCTCCTCAGCTGCCTCTTTGTGCTTCTAACTGAACTGCTGGTGTGGGGCCGGGCGGCAGGAGGGACGGGCACAGGCTGGAGCGCGGCGGGCGGAGGAGGAGGCTGCTGAGGTAGGGCGGCGCCATGGAAGTGCACGCCCAGGCCCACCGCCGACATCAAAATGGAGGCCATGCCTGGAGCGGGTGTGATGGAGAGGGAGGGAGGGGTGGGGGACAGGTGTGATGAGAGCCAGCGGTGGTTATGTGAGAGGGACAAATCAACAGAATGATAAATGTTACAATGAGAACTCTTTAGAAACAGCTGAAACACGGTTTACTGTACACACGACCTCAAGTCAAAATAACTTTATGTGGGAGCACAGAAAACAGATATTTTTTTAAACCCTATTTATTCTACATTTTAGGCCTTTACCAAATGGTTTTGATGTAAAAGTGCCTAAAACCAAGTGAGAGGCCCCAAAGACGTAGATGTTGGTCGATTTTTGACTCATTCATTGACTTGATTGAATATTGTTGAGCAAGGGGTATGATTTTACAAACCACATGGACCTAGACTAGATCTGGGATATGAAAGGGGCATGAAGTTCCCCGTCTTGTTGATATATTTTCGTCTCAGGCAGAGAAAGAGGGGCCTGGTTCACTGATTACAGGACTCCACCACAATCAAACACAAATGAGTTAAAATGGACACAGGCTCTAGGTCAGGGGTGTCCAAACTTTTTAGTCAGTTCACGTCACCGGACATGTCCAGGGGCCGACGACATGGATTGTAAGACAGGATTTTGTTCTTGGCTTTAACATGGAGAATGATGTGCCCATATGAATTCACGCACCACCGACATTAGAGACGACTGTGGAATTCTTGACACGATACAAAATCTATATAATAATACAGTATCTAGGTCCGATATTTCTCTGTACAGACGGAGCAAGCGAGGTTAATAAATGTTTTATTATATGACTCTCGTCTGTGTCTTTACCAATGCTTTTGAGATATTTGTGAAGTATGTTCATGTCCGACTTGGTTTTGTGTGATACGGGCTGTGGACCGATTGTCATGGTAACGGTCCGTGGAAAGATATCAAATCTGATACGCGCTGTTCGGACCAATTGTCATGGTAACGGTCCGAGATGGGAAAATATCAGACCGCAAATCAACCAATCAGAGCGCGCGTACGGTCCAAGTCACATAATAATTGGAATTATTTTGGAATCCAGAAATGAACTCCTGGATTCCAAAGGTTCTGATTTTTACGGGGCACAGCGCGTTACTCATCGGTGGAGCTGAAGTTGGCTGGATGACACTGTGGAACGGCACAGTTCAGTCCTTTATAGCAGCGGTTTTCAATCTCATAATTTCTTACAATTAACAAACTTAAACTGGAGATTAAAAAGAACATGGATTTGGCTTCACATGGTTAGCAATTGACAGATGCAATGACAGATGGTATTTTCTGACTGTTATGGTTCTGTGGACTTGTTCAATAAGACTATGTTAATATACATCATACGGTTTAGAAGTGACATTTATGAGCACTTAACCACTTTAGAAAATTATCTTTAGATCACTGTCGAGGAGTTGAGCCCCTTTGGTCTAAAGCATCGAGAAACAGGGCACTTTAATGGTATACTAGAGGATTTTCTACTTCCGGGTGGATCAACAATTGGTCCTCGTAATTGTCAATCATTCAGGAGATATGCAAGAAACGTTTTAAAAAGGGAGTTCCTTCTGAGGGCGGTTCTTTCCTAAAATTCAGGTAAAGTACTCCTACTTTTAATTCACCAAACTGGATTATAAAACTTCATATTGATTCACACAGAGAGCCATACACGGAACAATGTTACACAATCAAAAACAAGTCACAAATTAAGTTAACTTCTGGATTCCGAAGGTTCTGAGCTTTACAACAAGGTATAGCACTATGTTGGTGGAGCTGAAGTTGGCTGAATGACACGGCTCGATGGCTACAGGAAGAGGTAAACAGAGTATCACCATTGTCATTGTTCAGCAAAAATATCTAATTGACAAAAGATTTTCCGGTCAAAGATGAATGTGCGCCGACTCAAATGAGGTCAAACATAAATAATCATTGGTTAACTGAAGGCTGTCTTTTTTTAAAAGGATCCAACCAAACAACAATTGAAAATCTGTGGATTTAAGTCAAATGAACAGTGCACAGAAATCTCTCACAACTGAAAGACAAACGGACAGACTCAATAAAAGACAGCTGTTGGTGGTGTTTAGATCCGTGTGTTTCTGTTAAACCAGTGCATTAAACTCCCATGTGTTTCAAACGTATACGACTACTACAATCTGCAGGGTTTGTGTTGATGTGACGTGGAAACCTGATCCAAACTTGCACAACACTGAATTCATCGATCTTTATTTTGAGAATCCATAAACGTTTCCAAACCCATTCCTGATGCTGCCAAAAGACACGACTAAAGGGAGGACCCTCTCCCTCAGCTCTCAGTGTGTAAATGATGAGATAAGATCATTAAGACTATTGTGGAGTGTCTTGTTGACTATTTCTGTTGGGTAATGTAAAGTATAAAGTTTGTTAAGCCAGCCTTAATGCATGTGGGCACAGCCGCTGTTGTCAGTGACTCTCCACTGTATCCACTCCTGTCTCTGTATAAAGCACACAGAAGAGTTTTACAGCTTCGACACGACAGCAACAGACTCAAGTTTCCACACTGGACTACGCCCTGACTATAAGACTGAATTCTTTGAGTTATAAACTCAGTTTGCTCAAAAAATCTATACTCAGAGTGAGGAGAGGGGTGAGCCTGCCTCATCCTGAGGTGTCTTTGACCGCTTCTATATTGTGCAGGAATCTGAGACTTTCTAAAATTGTACACAATGCTGTAATATAATATATGACAAGTTGGAAATATTACCCTGAGAAAGAACTCTCACAGAACGGGTTCATTTGTTTCCAGTGGACAAATACACGTCTTGGAGAATAGAATGCTGTTCATGTTATAACAGGACCTGGACACACACAGCTCGGCTGACACACTACTATCTGTGGAAGAGTATTAGAGAGAGTTTACCTGCCAAGGCAGAGCTCACACTGTTGGAGCCATTCAGATGGACAGAAACAGAAGGAACACTGTGGAGAGAAGAATGTACAATGCACACAAGCTCCAAATGTTTATCCAAGAAAATGTAAGATTAGAAGAATTTTGACTGACCTCATCCCACTGGAGGAGCTGTGTGGATGAGGTAAGGAAGGATGACCAGCAGCAGTCGGTGGGAGCCAGGGGCTTCCCCAGGACACACTGCCCACAGACAGAGGCCTCCTGGGGTACGGGGAGTACACAGAGGTGGGGTGAGCGGCCGTAGTCCTTCCACTGCTCTGCAGACTGGGGCGAGTTAGATTCATAGAGGATAACGAGTGACGTGAGCGATTGGACATGGGCCCTGTGCTGCTGTGACTTACACACTGCTGACAGGAGCAAGCCATGGATGAAGGGTTCCCAGGGGCCCCTGTAACCAGACTAACGGGACCAGAGGACACAGAGGAGAGCCGGGAAGGGGCCCCAGAGGAGATTCCAGAGGAGAGTGCAGAAACCCCAGAAGAGGGTCCTGAAGAAAGTCCAGGGACTCCAGAGGACAGTCCAGAGGAGGCAGAGGTGTGTCCAGGAGGGGCCCCAGTGGAGGATCCAGAGGCCCCTGAGGAGGCCCCAGAGGAGACTCCAGAGGAGACCCCAGAGGGGGCTAGAGGGTATGGGAGGTTACACTGGCGGCGCACCTGCCTTCTGAAGCCAGTGGATTTGTTGACCTGGGTCAGTGATGTGAGGTCCACTATGTAGTTATAGCCATGAGACGCCAGGTCTGCAGTTCCCTGGCGAGCATGGTAGCTGTGCTCCAGCAGGATGGAGGTTCGAGTCTCATATGGGGTCCATGTCCCCTCGTCATTGGCCCATTCCCAGAAGACACCACTGCCCAGGCCTGACGACTGAGCAAAGAGGGAGCGGCGGACAGAGCGCGTCTTTCCTGGAACAAATATAAGCACAGCCTTTAAATAGTGACACCCTAAGCACTTTAACAGTTTTATTCACTGCACACAGCAGGTGAGGCAAGGCCAGTTTATTTGATTAGCACTGGTAAGCCACTATTGCAGCCCTTACGCCCTGGACAGGCTGACAGAACAAACCGATATAAATATGCCCCGGCCAATATCCTGAACTAAGTATTTAAATTAGAGAATTAATACTAAAATATAACTTTTCTTGTTACAAGCCCCCGATTTACGATTGACAATCTGGTCATCCAGGGTCCGCAAACTTCGTCACCAAACACAGTAAGACAATGAAGCACCTGTGTCCTGGCGAAACTGCTTGCGTCCTGGGATGTCTATGAGATAGTGGGCCAGGCGCGGGTCGGAGTGTCCCAGGCAGATGTTGGTGAGGCCGGCTCCCGTCAGCGGAGGACACACACACCGCTCTATGTAGGCGCTGACCTGCCCGCTGTAGGGTCTCCAATGGCCCTGGTCGTCCTGCCACTCCCACACCACCACCATGGGCTGCGAGTGACTGCCGAGGCCCGAGCCTGGCGTGGCCGTGAAAGAGGGCCCGTTCGCGGCGTTCACACTGCCGCAGGAGCCAGACACAATCGCCATGATCACAACACAACACGGGGCTAGCAGCACGTAGCTATTAGCTTCACAGGTAAACAGCAGCTAGCTCCAGATAATGCTCCGTGAGCCGTGGTGAAGGTGAACGCCGAACCCATGTGAAGTCATTGCGGGTGTTGAGAAGTCCGCCGCCCCGGGAGCACAGGGCGTGGGAGTCCGGGAGCTGTGACCGAGACACTGCGGAGCTGGGAGTGTTAGCTTAGCATTAGCTGCGCTCTCACTCTGCTGAGTCTGAGCTGCGCGCTGCTGCTGCGCAATGCTGCCCCCTATGGACACATTACTGCACATGTCACACATCTGACTGACAGAAGTGACCAGAGCCATGTGAGACAGTGGAGAGACGGACGGAGTGGAGGAGGAAGGTTATATCCATGTGTTCATATTAAATACAGGTAAATCCTCATTTGGACTTATTTATCTGTTCTTCCTCCCACTTTATTACATTTTTGTCTTATTCATTAGGATGCAACAGTTTCCAGCCAACGTCCCCGAAAAATACCACACCAGATGTTACAAAACATGAATGATACCAGACCAGATGTCATTGTCACACCAGGTTTACTTTTGAATGTGCTGGAAAATGGCAGCACTGAAACAGTTTTTTTTTTTTGCTTTTTTCCACCTGAGATGTTGCTGCAGTGTTCATGGTTTTAAGATAGGATAAGATAGACTTTATTGATCTCACACAGGAGAAAATTGTCACATTTTGCATGGATTGAATCACTCAGATTTGTGCAAAAGACAGAAGTGTGCAAACACGCTAAAGGCAAAAGATACAGTCTTTTCAGGATATATTATGTACAATAAAAATGAAAATGAAAGAAACAGTGGCAATAGTGCAAGTGACTTAAAGTGACTTGTTGTACAGTCTGACAGCGGTGGGGATAAAGGCCCTGCGGTAGCGCTCCTTCCTACACTGAGGGTGCCTCAGTCTTCCACTGAAGGAGCTCCTCAGCTCCTCCTCAGTCCTGTGCAGTGGGAGGTGTTGTTCATGATGGAGGTGACTTTGACTAGCACCTCCTGTCCCTCACCTCCTCCACAGAGTCCAGGGAGCAGCCCAGAGTGGAGCTGGCCCTCCTGACCAGCTTGTTCAGTCTGCTCCTGTCCCGCTCTGTGCTGCCCGGGGCCCAACACACGGCAGCGTAGTGTATGGCAGAAGCTACCACAGAGTCATAAAAAGTCCTGAGCAGAGGCCTGCTCACTCTGAAGGACCTCATCCTCCTGAGAAGGAAGAGGCAACTTTGGCCCTTCTTGTGCAGGGCGTTTGTATTATGGACCAGTCCAGTTTATTGTTAATGTGAACACCCAGGTACTTGAAGCTGTCCACCAGCTCAATGTCCTCCCCCTGGATGTTCAGCAGCGTGTGGGAAAGTGGTTTTCTCTTGAAATCGATGACTATCTCCTTGGTCTTACTGGTGTTCAAGCACAAGTGGTTACACACCAGTGTGTGTCACACCAGCTGTGTGTGTCCTCCTGAACTTCAAGAAGAAGGGCTTTCATCTCAGGGAACAAAGAGGAGCAGAAGAGGATCCAGCACAAGCTCCAGTGGAGGATCAGGAGGGCCAAGAAGGACTGTGGGGAAAAGCTGGAGCAGAAGCCTGGTGTTTTTTTTACACTGGTCCAGACCAGAGCAGAGAGGGTTCATGGTGTGACCTGAAGGGCTGTTGTTGATTTTTACTAATGTTAGCTTTTTTAGAATTGTGAATTTTATTTTTTATTTTTGCTGCTACCTGAATTTCTCCTACGGGAATCATTAAAGTATCATCTATCTATATGTCCGCCCATCCATCTATCTATCTATCTATCTATCTATCTATCTATCTATCTATTCGAACACTTGTCATATCAGATGCCAAGATTGCATTATGGACAGGTTGTTTCACCACGACCCCTCTCTCATGCACATGGACCATTCCAACCCGTCCGCTCAGGCAGGGGGGGTCTACAGTCCACCCAGACCAGAACCTCCCGCTGTAAGAACAGTTTCTTCTCCTCTGCGGTCGGACTTCATCACCGTCACCATGAGCCAAAGCAAATGTCCTGTTACTTACAATGGCAATTAAAAACAAATCAGATTCCAGTACACATAGCACATAGTATAATAATGATGTGAAAGTGTAACAGTCTTGTCAGGGTGTACTACGTTTATGTTTTGAATGTATTTGATCTTTTTAGTATCTTGTGGTGGTTCTCTGAGTATAATTCAGATTTAATGAGAAAAGCAGCCGATTGAGGATGAAATAAAAAAGAACTGGTCACAGTGGAGCGACTAAATGTTAATGCAATCAGAAAATGTGTAAACTATGGGATCCAAAGTTTGGTTTAGGAAGGAAACTCTGCCTTTTTTCTAAAGACACAACATTTGGATGAAGTGTTTTGTCCAAAGACACAACAGAAAACACAATGATGGAACCAAGCCAAAAATAAATAGTTTGATTCATTGCCTGTTTGTCTTGGGGCAGGGCCAATGCGGACGTCCTTTAAATAATCTCATACAGTTTGAGATTAAGACTTTTATTAAACTATTTTTTAACTTTTTTTAACAGATCTCCCAAAGACTGTTTCAACATTGTATTTCTATGGATCGACGCAGGGGCCAAAACCAAACACTGGGGCCAGAAATACACGTAACAGAGACATCCGCACGTGTCTGACAGTCTCGTGAAGCGCCGCTGGTTCCACTGGACTGCAGCGCCACCGTGTGTTCGTGCAGGAGCTACACAATATACAGACAGCTCTAATCTTTAATACATTATACAACACAAATAAACACAATCAGCACATTTGAATTTCACCTCAAGGCAAATAAAAGCATTGAATCGTATGTTTTCTCTCCTATCTGCATAAGCCTGTGAAGCTGTGCAGGGCAGGGCCTGGTTAGTGCTGTGATGGGAGACCTCTGGGAACACCAGGTGCCACAGTGGGGCGGCTGTAAAGTGCCAAACTGTGGTTGTGTCCTTTGGCAAGACACTTCCCCCACATTAGAATGAGTCTGGTGTGCGTGTGAATGGTTGGTGGTGGTGGGAGCGGCTGATCGCACGGACTGGTTGCCTCGCTTCTGTCAGTGTGCCCCAGGGCAGCTGTGGCTACTGTAGTTTATCAGCACTGTGTATGGAGTGAATGAATAATAACATGTGAAGCGTCTTTGAACGTCTAAAATGTACTTTATGAAACTGATGTATTATTATTATTATGAGATGTCACCAAGTAATTAACAAAGTAATGTTATTGGTTGGGACGAGGATCAGGATTAAGAATATGGGTCCATTATCAATGTGCAACAGACAGTGATCCTGGACTACTACTACTACTACTACTGATACTATAACTACAATTGCAATAACAAATATATGTTTTCAAGCACTAAGGAGTACTACTCCTACGACTTCTATTACTACTACTACTACTACTACTATTACTACTGCTACTACTGTTACTACAGCTACAATTGCAATAACAACAACAGGTTGTATTATTAGATACTGTAATTACAATGGGGATGTCCTACTACTACTACTACTACTACTACTAATACTACTACTACTAAATTCCAATTGCAATAAAACAAAGTACTACATCATTACAAAGCGTAAGTCCTCCTGTGCACCAGAGGGCGGTAGGCCTCGGTGCTGGTTCTGCCTCCAGTCCTGGGCACTGCTTCACGTGGGAATGGGGACCGGTCAGGGAGCGGTGCAGGGTACGGGCTGCGTGTGAAGCCAGTGTTGGTGTCGGTGTGTGTGATCTCCGCAGGTTTGTGGCTCTTTACGCACGGCCGGTGCCGCCTTGGCACGCGTCACGGACCTTGCCGTAGCGCGCACTGCCTCTGTCTGTGAACGCACGTGGGGGTGTTATGGATCTGTTATGTTTCTCAAACTGTGGTACGGACATCTTTAACCAGTCCCCATTACCAACCAGCTGCTGTGTGTGTAGTATGGATCTATAATAATAACGTGTGTGTAGTCAGAGGCTGTTAGTTTTGGAAGTGCAATCACTCTTCTTTTGTATGTTTTTGGGTCTTTGTGACCTTTTCTGTTTCTAGACATAGTTTGTTTCTATATTTCTATTATGATTGTGAATTTATCTTGACCCAGCCTGGTTCTGGTTTTAGACTAGTTTTAGACTTGACCTACCAAGTGTAGGTCAAGTCTAGGAACAAGTCTTTTAGATTGATCCTTGACTGGTACTAGACTAGTTTTAGATTGGTCCTAGACTTGTCCTAGACTGGTTTTAGACTGGTCCTGGTTCAGAGCAGTCTCGGCTTGTAAATATGTAAAACTAGACCTAACTAAAATGTTTGGTGGTGGTCAGAGGGGCTGATGGCACAGACTGGTTGCCTCGCTTCTGTCAGTGAGTCCCAGGGCAGCTGTGGCTATTGTGCTAGTTTATCACCACCGAGTTTGGAGTGAATGTGATGCAATATTATCAGTATTATCCTCTCTCCAGCTCCTGCCTCCTCCCCCTCCTCTCTCCTCCTCCTGGTCCCTCCTGCCTCCTCATCCTCTCTACAGCTCCTGGTCCCTCCTGCCTCCTCATCCTCTCTACAGCTCCTGGTCCCTCCTGCCTCCTCCCCCTCTCTACAGCTCCTGGTCCCTCCTGCCTCCTCCCCCTCTACAGCTCCTGGTCCCTCCTGCCTCCTCCTCCCTCTCTACAGCTCCTGGTCCCTCCTGCCTCCTCCTCCCCCTCTACAGCTCCTGGTCCCTCCTGCCTCCTCCTCCCTCTCTACAGCTCCTGGTCCCTCCTGCCTCCTCCTCCCCCTCTACAGCTCCTGGTCCCTCCTGCCTCCTCCTCCCCCTCTACAGCTCCTGGTCCCTCCTGCCTCCTCCCCCTCTCTACAGCTCCTGGTCCCTCCTGCCTCCTCCTCCCCCTCTACAGCTCCTGGTCCCTCCTGCCTCCTCCCCCTCTCTACAGCTCCTGGTCCCTCCTGCCTCCTCCTCCCCCTCTACAGCTCCTGGTCCCTTCTGCCTCCTCCTCCCCCTCTACAGCTCCTGGTCCCTCCTGCCTCCTCCTCCCCCTCTACAGCTCTTGGTCCCTCCTGCCTCCTCCTCCCCCTCTACAGCTCCTGGTCCCTCCTGCCTCCTCCACTCCTCCCCCTCTACAGCTCCTGGTCCCTCCTGCCTCCTCCTCCCCCTCTACAGCTCCTGGTCCCTCCTGCCTCAAACAACAGAAACAGAAAGAAATAAAATGTTTTATTATTATTATTATTACGTCCTTCTCTACAGAGAAGATGCCGAAGAGAGGCCGCGGTGCAGTGAAGAGAGGCCCCTCGCCGGCTCCTCCTGCGGTGGCCCCTAAACGCCCCACGGAGCCAGAGCCCGAGTGCCCCCTGAGCTTCCACAGCCCCGCAGAGCTCTTCTCCAGCCTCATCTCTCCTCTGAGTCCAGAACTCTTCTTTTCTGAGCACTGGGAGCAGAAGCCGGTCCACCTGAGCAGAGACGACCCAGCTGTGGCCCGGTAAAATGTGACGATTCAATAGTGTTGTGATATTATTTAAACTTTATTACAGACACGAGGTCCAGATAAAAAAGACGTCACAACAAAATAAAAAAAATAAACAAACGTATTTAAAGGAGAGTACTGTACCAGTGACGCCACATCATCATCATCCAACTTTTATGACAGACACATGGTCCAGGATAAGACACACACATCTCATAAAAACACAAAACAACATATTTAATCACAGCAATCAGAGCAAACAGCTGAACCAGTGTCTCCACAGATCTGACTGGTACTGCATGGCAATATTAATGTGAATCTTAAAGCAGCAATATATGAGATTTTCATGTCAAGTCATCATTAAAGGGCCCTGATCTGTCCAAAGGCATTAATAAGACCATGTTTTTCTTAACAGTAGTTCTGAGATATTTCTCAAATCATTAACAACAAAACAAGGAATAAAACAGGGGCCTTTGTGAAAATGGTGTTTGTTATAGAAGTCTTGTCTATTCAGTTAAATAGACAAGTCCCAGCTGGATTCGTCTGCATATCTGGCAACCTGAGTCAGGGAGAGGCTGCAGTACCACCTTTGGCCACATGTTTACATACTGCTCATATCGCGAGATGTGATTCATATTATTGAAACATGGAGGAAAATAAGACTCTTGTTTCTGACATTTCTTATGATCTGTTCATGAAGTGAAACAAACTCTGAGGAGGGAAGAGAAAAAACATGATCCTTGAACCTTCAGGACCTTGTTACAGACATCTTTATTCTCTTTTAGACGACGCTCTCATGAAGCTGAGCTCTCAGCACTGACATTATTCACAACAAACTGGATCTAATTAGTTAAACTGTTGTTGGTCGGGGCCAAGGTTAAGAACATAGGAGCTGGTTGGGGCAAAAAGCGTGAGTTTGGATAATATCTTCTAGTAGTTCTGGATTCATCACAACCGGGTCAATATAAAAAAATATATAATTGAAGTTTTATAATTAAATGCAGAAATTAAATCTCGGGCCTTAACTTCTAATGTCATGTTAGTTAACATTGAAGAACAGATTCAATGATATGGTTGTTTTCCTGAGAGAAACTTTAAAATTAAGTTTAACATGCCATAGTTTCCTGTTGCCATCAATGCTGCAAATTACTGGAGTAATTCACGGGCCGCTGGAAACGGTCTCGTTGGCCCGAATTGGCCCACGAGCCTGAGCTGCCTGGACCAGATGAACAAACAGCAAACATAATAGAGTCACATAAACCTCAGATGGAAACTCAGAGAAAACACAAAAGAGAAACAGATCAGTCAACATCAGTATTAAAGATGCAGTTAGCGGTGTTGTTAGCTTAGCCGTAGCACCAACTCGAAACCACTCCCCCTCCCCTCCCTCTCCACCAAACCACTCCCCCTCCCCTCCCTCTCCACCAAACCACTCCCCCTCCCTCTCCACCAAACCACTCCCCCCTCCCCTCCCTCTCCACCAAACCACTCCCCCCTCCCCTCCCTCTCCACCAAACCACTCCCCCCTCCCCTCACTCTCACTCTCCACCAAACCACTCCCCCCTCCCCTCCCTCTCCACCAAACCACTCCCCCCTCCCCTCCCTCTCCACCAAACCACTCCCCCCTCCCCTCCCTCTCCACCAAACCACTCCCCCCTCCCCTCCCTCTCCACCAAACCACTCCCCCCTCCCCTCACTCTCCACCAAACCACTCCCTCTCCCCTCCCTCCTCTCCACAAAACATCCAACATTTTCTTTTCTTTGTCGCAACAGCGAGAGTGAAGCAAACGTGAAATTGGCATTTTCTGTTCAGTCGTTTTAGGTTTTAGAAAATCTGATAACTCCGGTGCACTCAGAGAAACAGGAAGAGGGTGAAGGGGGTAAACGCATCCCATTGGTCCGTTGGGGATGAACGATTCCCATTGGTTTATTTTTATCGGTCCTCTCCAAAATATTTTGTATACAATTTTGGAGACTATAGACATCTGGTCAATTCCATTACTATAGTAAAACACATGATTAACTTGATACTTTTATGGTTTAGGGACGTTTTCCCACAATATTTACAAAAATGCATCTGGAAAACATCACTGACTGTATCTTTAATTTAATATTGCAATACTTTTGAACTACTGTAGATACTGTAGATACTGTAGAATATCTCACTGCAATTTATTCTTGCACAGCCCAAAATCACAACAGTATTTTCTCAAACTGTTGACTTCTCCAACACAGAGAGAGGAGCAGAGACCGATGTCCATAAATGTGGGACACTGAGCAGGATCCGTGTCTCTCTCCTCCAGGTTCTACGGCTCGCTGTTCGGCGTGTTGCACCTGCCCCAGCTCTGCGGCGCTCACAGCCTGATGTTCTACCGCGACGTTAACGCCGTGCGCTGCGTCAACGGCAACAAGAAAGTGCTGAACAAAAACGGACGAGTCAAGTACGAGGCACTTAACAAACTCTTCACGCAGAGCAAGGCCACGCTGCAGTTCCACCAGCCGCAGCGCTTCAAGGTACAAGCATCAAGTTTAAAGTTCATGTTTAAGATTAAGATTAAGATTAAGATGAAGGAATTCTGTTCTAGTCCCACAGCGGGGAAATGTCAGTGTTGCATCACCAGTTACAGAACAATAGGAATGAGGAGTCTACAGCCTCAGTCCTGGGTCTACAGCCTCAGTCCTGGGTCTACAGCCTCAGTCCTCGATCTACGGCCTCAGTCCTGGGTCTACGGCCTCAGTCCTGGGTCTACGGCCTCAGTCCTGGGTCTACGGCCTCAGTCCTGGGTCTACGGCCTCAGTCCTGGGTCTACGGCCTCAGTCCTGGTCTACGCCCAGTCCTGGATCTACGGCCTCAGTCCTGGGTCTACGGCCTCAGTCCTGGGTCTACGGCCTCAGTCCTGGGTCTACGGCCTCAGTCCTGGTCTACGGCCTCAGTCCTGGGTCTACGGCCTCATCCTGGGTCTACGGCCTCAGTCCTGGGTCTACGGCCTCAGTCCTGGGTCTACGGCCTCAGTCCTGGGTCTACGGCTCAGTCCTGGGTCACGGTCAGTCCTGGGTCTACGGCCTCAGTCCTGGGTCTACGGCCTCAGTCCTGGGTCTACGGCCTCAGTCCTGGGTCTACGGCCTCAGTCCTGGGTCTACGGCCTCAGTCCTGGGTCTACGGCCGCAGTCCTGTGTCTACGGCCGCAGTCCTGGGTCTACAGCCTCAGTCCTGGGTCTACAGCCTCAGTCCTGGGTCTACAGCCTCAGTCCTGGGTCTACAGCCGCAGTCCTGGGTCTACAGCCTCAGTCCTGGGTCTACAGCCTCAGTCCTGGGTCTACGGCCTCAGTCCTGGGTCTACGGCCTCAGTCCTGGGTCTACAGCCGCAGTCCTGGGTCTACAGCCTCAGTCCTGGGTCTACAGCCTCAGTCCTGGGTCTACAGCCTGCTCTTGTCATTTAGCCTATACAAAAATAAATGTATTTGAAGAGAGGGAAATTGTGACCATAGAGAGTTCCATTCTGAATTTGTTTTAGCTGCATCATAACATTTGTTTTTTCTTTGTTTGTTTGTGTGTGTCTGTGTGTGATCTAGGATGAACTGTGGCACATCCAGGAGAAGCTGGAGAGTTTCTTTGGAGCTCTGGTGGGCTCTAACGTCTACATGACCCCTGCAGACTCCCAGGGCCTCCCCGCTCACTACGACGATGTGGAGGTAAGAGAGAGACCAGAGAGGGAGAGACCAGAGAGGGGGAGAGACCAGAGAGAGGGAGAGACCAGAGAGGGGGAGAGACCAGAGAGGGGGAGAAGACCAGAGAGGGGGAGAAGACCAGAGAGGGGGAGAGACCAGAGAGGGGAGAGACCAGAGAGGGGGAGAGACCAGAGAGGGGGAGAGACCAGAGAGGGGGAGAGACCAGAGAGGGGGAGAGACCAGAGAGGGGGAGAGAGAGAGGGGGAGAGAGGGGGACCAGAGAGGGGGAGAGACCAGAGAGGGGGAGAGACCAGAGAGGGGGAGAGACCAGAGAGGGGGAGAGACCAGAGAGGGGGAGAGACCAGAGAGGGGGAAGACCAGAGAGGGGAGAGAAGACCAGAGAGAGGGGAGAGACCAGAGAGGGGGAGAGACCAGAGAGGGGGAGAGACCAGAGAGGGGGAGAGACCAGAGAGAGGGAGAGACCAGAGAGGGGGAGAGACCAGAGAGGGGGAGAGACCAGAGAGGGGGAGAGACCAGAGAGGGGGAGAGACCAGAGAGGGAGAGAGAGAGAGACCAGAGAGAGAGAGAGACAGAGAGAGAGAGAGAGAGAGAGAGAGAGACCAGAGAGGGAGAGAGACCAGAGAGGGAGAGAGACCAGAGAGGGAGAGAGACCAGAGAGGTAGGGAGAGAGACCAGAGAGGTAGGGAGAGAGACCAGAGAGGGAGGGAGAGAGACCAGAGAGGGAGGGAGAGAGACCAGAGAGGGAGGGAGAGAGACCAGAGAGGGAGGGAGAGAGACCAGAGAGGGAGGGAGAGAGACCAGAGAGCGAGAGAGACCAGAGAGCGAGAGACCAGGAGCAGGACTCAGGGCAGATCGCTGTAGTCCTCAGAACTTATCACTGCTGTGCACTAGGAGTGTGACGATACTTTCTCCCGCGATTCGGTTATCGATATGCATTTGCCAAGTATCGATATGGATTTTTTTTTTTTTTTTATTATCAATACTTTATACTTCATCTCCATTCCATTTATCATGAAATAAAGTGTATTTTTTCACTTAACATTTTTCTTTTATTTATGCCATAAATTGGCATATGGTATATTTCTGACCAATATATCGATAATCGTCATAATGTGATATTGTTATCGTGCACACAAGTTATAACAAGTGTTTTTCTGACTTTAAATGAATGTTATACCAGTGATATATCATGTTCGAGTACACACACTGCGCATAACACACACACATACACATAAAATCTGCGTAACACAAACTCTAGAGCACAAGAGGGGTCAATGTTCATTTGCTTTTCTCAATACAATGATGTGTGCGTGTGTGTGTGTGTGCGTGCCTGTTTGCGTGCGTGTGTGTGTCAGGTGTTCATCCTGCAGCTGGAGGGGCAGAAGCACTGGCGCCTGTACACCCCCACGGTCCCTCTGGCCTCGGACTACAGCCTGGTTCCCCAAGACCAACTGGGGACCCCCTCCCACGACCTTGTGCTCAAGGTGTGTCCCCCCGCACAGATACACACAGATACACACAGGTATACTGATACACACAGATATACAGACACACAGATATACAGGTACACACAGATACATGTAAATCTTAGAACCCCGGATAAAGTCAGATCTGTTTCAGGAAGGAGACCTGCTGTACTTTCCACGAGGAACAATCCACCAGGCCAACACGCTACCAGGAGAGCACTCCACCCACCTGACCCTCAGCACCTACCAGAAGATGTAGGCCATGGTTTCTTATCTACCAGAAGATGTAGGCCATGGTTTCTTATGTACCAGAGGATGTAGGCCATGGTTTCTTATGTACCATTTAATGCATTTTAGGTTTCAAATGACTAGAGGTTGGTTGTGATATTGCCGTGAAACTGATGTCTAGTGAAATCAAGGAGATTTACAATTTGGAAGTGAGACAGCTGCGCCCCCTGGTGGACAGGTGTGAGGCTGGGTGCTGCTAAAGCTCAACCGAGTCCAGCAGTGGTACTTCTGAGTAAAAAAGGGTCAAAATATGGATGTGGAGTAGTTGGGTAATAAGAAATTGTTGTAAATCTGCAATGTCTTCCTGGAGAGAGTTCAGAGAGACAGTGGGAAAATGTCAGTGAACAAAACCGGTATACTAAAAACCTAAATATTCTAGTACAAGAAATATAGCTGTGTGCGTGCGTGTGTGTGTGTGTCTGTGTAAATCTGTGTAACTCTGTGGTCTGTTTCAGGTCCTGGTCCGACCTCCTCCTGGACGTTCTCCCGGGGTTCCTCGGTGAGAGCAGCAGAACAGACGTGCTCCTCAGACGGGGAATGCCCCAGCGCTTTTTACTGGTGAGACTGACCTTTCTTAAACTAAAGTCAAAGTCACAGATTACAGACTAAAGCCCTATTCGCATGGGATTAGTATGACCTGTGGATCTCTGGTAATGTGTGATAATCGCAGAGGAGCAGAGATCTAACTGCACATTCACACGGGAGCAATGTCTGTAAATGACTATATTTTCACTGACATACAGAAAAAAACAGACACATAATGGCCGCACGTGCACGAGTCTCTCCGCTTCGCAGTGGTGCAGCTCCCAATCAAAACACATGGTTAACTCATTGACTGCCAGCCATTTTTGATGATTTCACTGATTCTCAAGACCCAGAGAATATTATTTTCTAAGACTATGTAAAATGTGAAACCAGATTCTGAACGACTGGATTGTCTACTTTCAATGAGTTAACATGTTTGTGCTGATGGTCCTTAGATCAGCTCCACACACACAGAACTGGTATTTAAACTTTAGAAGAGACCTGTGAGACGTGGCTCTCCTCTCCTGAAAAGAGGCGCTCGTCACTCGCTTCTTACAATGAGTACGAGCAGTCCTAAAGTTTTCTGCTAAAAAGCTTCAAAACTGCAAATCTATAGTTCCACCGCAGCCTCCATTGTTTGAGCCGGGAAGAGATATGAAAAAGCTGCAAAATATTGACAAAAAACAACTCAGAAATTGGAGAAAACGGCAATAGCGATCACAATCACTGACAGATTAGTATCATCACAGTCATACATGTCATTTGTAGCAGAATTATTACATTACAAATGACAGACATGGTGCATTCAGACGTCCTCTGCGATGATCACAAATTTCCAGAGGTCCACAGGTAATACTAATCCAGCGAGAATAAGGCATAAGAGAGCTTCAAGTGAATTTGAGACTTCCTGTTATGGCCTCATGATCAGTAAACCACAGATCCCTGTTGGTTGAGGAGCACGATGGTCCAACACTTGTCCAACACTTTGTGTTTACAAAGTGCTGCACAGTCGTCATAAAGCAGTAAAATCCGTGATGAACAGTCCATAACACAAGATAATAAAATAAATCAAAAAGAAATACAAGAGATTAAAGCAGAGAGAGGCGCACAACAAGAAAGACTGAACATGATATAACTGAAGAAAGTTTAGTGATGTACCTTGGTGTCAGACCTAAACGAGCTCTGGTCTGTGAAAGGCGGTATATAAATAAAAATTACTTACTTACTTACTTAAAAGTCATCAGTAACATCTTAAAATCCATTCTGAAATGCACAGGGATCCAGTGGAGGGACACTAACACAGGGGTGATGTGCTCCTGTCTGCTCAAACCAGTGAGGACGAGGAGGATGGGGAGGGAGAAGGAAGAGGAGGAGGAAGTGGAGGAGGAAGAGGAGGAGGAGGGAGGAGAGGCTGAGACTAACCTTGGAGAACGTTGTATGTCCAGGGCGGCTGTGAGGACCGGACGCTGAAGAAGCAGGTGGCGTCTCAGCTGCGCCTCCTAGCGGACAAACTGGAGAAGGACACGGGACACATGACCTCTGCTGGTCTGAGGAGGGACTTCATCATGAACAGACTCCCTCCACACTGCCCCGACGACCAGCTGCTTCCTGGTACAACCACCCACAGCAGCAAAGAGTGAAGGAAAAAAGTCAAAACATTTTACCAACTAATTTTACCAAAGGGCGACACGGTGGCTGAGTAAGAAGGTCCTGGGTTCGAATACCGGTCGGAACAGGGACTTTCCGAGTGGAGTTTGCATGTTCTGCCCGTATTTGCTTAGGTTTACTCCGAGTGTTCCGGTCCCTACCTCTGAAAACATGCACAATAGGTCTGAATGTAGTGAGTGAGTGAATGGATGATGATCTCTGAACTCTAAACATTGTAAAGTGCTCTGGGTGGCCTTAGTGTGTAAAATGCGCTATATAAATAAACATTACATGGTGACATTACTTTATTTAAACACATACGAGACAAGAAATGTTTTGGAATGAGAAAATAAAGCAACAGTTGTTTAAATAGGAGTAAACCACTTTGTCCCATTGGAGAATCTTGATTTAACACACTCATAATGTGTCAGATTAACATAAAAACCACTCAATTCAAGCTAGTATTACCTCATATTTTATCATCTTTTGCAGTGTGGCTCTCACAAATACTGCCGTGTCATAATGTTAGGAACCAAAAAGACAAGGGAACCGTTATCCGTCCCATTGTGGGGAACTTTGGATGTTGCAGGGCACAAACAGGACTGTAGTAAGCGACACAAGAAGCACACACACTCTACCACACACGTAGCTGCTTCTTAGCTAACTGTAAAGGCTTGATACGATAACGTCAGCTGCAGGGGACTGAGGGGGACTGAGGGGGACTGAGGGGGAGGGTCTAGTGTCGTAAGTAAGTAGTAAGTAAGTAAGTAAGCTTTTATTTATATACCGCCTTTTCACTGCACATCAGAGTCTCAAAGCGGTTTACAATTGTTGGGTGGGGGTGCCAGTACAGGAGGCACATGCCATACCTATTGTACATATTTTTAGTGGTAGGGGAAACCCGGAGCACCCGGAGGAAACCTACGCAGACACGGGGAGAACATGCAAACTCCACTCAGAAAGGCCCTGGTCCAACCGGGATTCGAACCCAGGACCTTCTTGCTGAGAGGCGAGAGTGCTATCCATTCAGCCACCGTGCCGCCCACGGTGTAGTGTAGGGATGAATGTGAAGGAATGTTTGGATAAATGTTCTTTTTCTGTCTGTACACTGTACATTTTTTTTAAAGGACCTGGTGTGTCTCAAGGGCCACTTCTTAAGAATAAATGAATGAATGAACGTGTGTGTTGCAGTGGGCCGGGTGCCTCAGCTCCAGGACACCGTCTGCCTGACCTTCAGAGACCACATGCTCTTCACCCAGGAGCCCGCGCCCACCAACACTGTGAGCCTAACACCTCCATTTGTTATATGGCTTTACTTTCATAGTTGAAGTATTAAGTGGGTCTGACTGCTGGAGCTGGGGTGAGTAATGAGGAGGCAGGGACCAAAGTAACTGTGTGGTTATGGTACCGTGATTTAAACCATGATAAAGACAGAAACATGAGAAGAAAAAAAAACATTTGCAATGATCTGCAGTGTATAGTTATGGTGAACCATTCTCTCCCGGTCTCTCCCATCTCCTTCCGTTCTCTCCCTGCCTCTTCCATTCTCTCCCATCTCATGTATCTCTCATCCCCTCCTGTTCTCTCCCGGTCTCTCCTGGTCTCTCCTAGTCGCTCCCTGTCTCTCTCATTCTCTCCCGGTCGCTCCCTGTCTCTCCCATCTCCCGTTCTCTCCCTGTCTCTCCCATTCTCTCCCGGCCTCTCCCGGTCGCTCCCTGTCTCTCCCGTTCTCCCATCTCCTCCCGGCCTCTCTCATCCCCTCCTGTTCTCTCCCGGCCTCTCTCATCCCCTCCTGTTCTCTCCCGGTCTCTCCTGGTCTCTCCTAGTCGCTCCCTGTCTCTCCCATTCTCTCCCGGTCGCTCCCTGTCTCTCCCATTCTCTCCCATTCTCTCCCGGCCTCTCCCGTTCTTTCTCGGTCTCTCCCGTTCTCCCATCTCCTGCCGGTCTCTCTCATCCCCTCCTGTTCTCTCGGGTCTCTCTCGGTCTCTCCCGTTCTCTCCCATCCTTTCCCGGTCTCTCTCATTCTCTCTCGTTCTCTCCCTGTGTGGAGCTTTCCTCGTTTCATAAACCAGAGATGTTAGTCTGAGATCACAGACTCTCATCGCACAGACCGAGTAATAATCCAATCAGTGAGCAGCAGACATAAACAGTGGGAGACAAATGGAACAACAAAAGTGTCGCCTTTATCTGTAATTCAAGTCATTTCTATTATGGCCTATTATGAAGCCTGTGCTGCTGTTGCAGGATGAGAGTCCTGAGACGGCCGTGTTCGTGCTGCACTCTCTAAGGAACCAGCGGAGCCTCCACATGATGAGTGCGGGGGCCCCAGGGAGCGAGGGGCCCGAGGAGGAAGAGGAGGAGGAGCCTCACATCTCCAGTGTAAATTCACTCATTTATGTTTCACAGACACAAAAACATGGATGAGACAAACGCTGCATTCTGTGGCTCATGTCGTTTATATAATCTATGTTTGATCTGAGGCGTCGTGTGATGAGTCAAAATGGTCCTTTTTATATTATAGTAAACAAACACAGACAGACACAGGTCCAGGGGCAGAACTAAAATAATCTGAACTTCTCCACCAAAGAAAAAACAGTCAATTATTGAACTGTAGATCTAGCTTGGAACTAACTCGGGTCTCACTCGGGTCTCACTCGGGTCTCACTCGGGTCTCACTCGGGTCTCACTCGGGTCTCACTCGGGTCTGACTCGGGTCTGACTCGGGTCTGACTCGGCTCTGACTCGGCTCTGACTCGGCTCTGACTCGGGTCTCACTCGGGTCTCACTCGGCTCTCACTCGGCTCTCACTCGGCTCTCACTCGGGTCTCACTCGGGTCTCATCGTGGCAAGATGATTTCCAAAAAAGAGAAAAAGTATTTTTTCGCCATTGATTTCATTCAATAATATGACTACTCGTTAAATTGTGTTTGGAGAAGACTGATACAAATATATAGTATTTTAAATAATCCCAAACATTAGAAGATTGACAGCGTCAATCAAAATCAAGTTACGTGCGGCGGGAAATTTGTCTTGCTGTTGTTTGCTAACGCTATTTGGTGTTACGAGGCTACAAACTAAAAATATTCCTGCTTTAAAATGAAACAGTGGTTAATATCCAAAACAAAAACCCGGAGGGGGAGGAAAGTCTCATGTGCCAGAGGCCGATGGTGTGAAGACTGCGGAGGAGGGGGCATGCAAGAGGAGCGAGCTGCTTCCAATGAAGTGGCATATTTTATACAGTGGCAAAACAGCCTCACACGATAGGTGAAACTTTAATGAAGCCAACGGCAATAGCCATGAGTCGCATTATGGTGATAAACAAGCCGCGGAGCTCGAACAGGTGCCGCTCTCAGACGGGACTGTTGGCCGCCGCATCAGTGACATGGCACTCATTGACGCAGTGAAGGGAGGGAAGTGTCCCTTATAATTGGACGAGTCCACTGACGTCTCCGATTCCGCCCAGCTCCTTGTTTTTGTTCGGTACATTTTTGAGGGAAAGTTTAGTGAGGAAATTCTGTTTTGCGTGCAGCTGGAGGGAAGGTGCACTGGCGAGGACATTTTTAAAGAGTGCGAGTGAGTGGGGGACAGGTTAAGAAGTGTTCAAGAGTCCAACAGCAGAGGGGAAGAAACTGTTCTTGTGGCGGGAGGTTCTAGTCCTGATGGACCGCAGTCTCCTGCCTGAGGGGAGTGGTTGGAATAGTCCATGTGCAGGTGAGAGGGGTCGGCTGTGATACGACCAGCCCGGCCTCGAGCTCGGGCGACGTACAGGTCCTGCAGCGATGGAAGGCTGCGGCCGATCACTTCCTCTGCAGAGCGCACAATGCACTGTAGTCTCTGTTTGTCCCTGACTGTGGCTCCAGCGAACCACACAGTGATGGAGGAGGTGAGGATGGACTCGATGATGGCCGTGTAGAACTGCACCAACATCTGTGCAGGCAGCTTGGCTTTCCTGAGCTTGCGCAGGAAGTACATCCTCTGCTGGGCCTTCTTGATGAGGGAGCTGATGGTCGGCTCCCACTTGAGGTCCTGGGTGATGGTGGTGCCCAGGAAACGGAAGGACTCCACAGAGGTGATGGGGGAGTCCATCACGGAGGGTGGGGGACAGAGGTGATGGGGGAGTCCACCACGGAGGGTGGGGGACAGAGGTGATGGGGGAGTCCATCACGGAGGGTGGGGGTGGGGGGACAGTGCTCTTCCTGAAGTCCACAGTCATCTCCACTGTCTTCTGGGCGTTCAGCTCCAGGTTGTTACCACTGCACCAGGACACCAGCCGGTCCACCTCCCTCCTGTAGGCGGACTCATCGCTGTTGGAGATGAGTCCAATGAGGGTGGTGTCGTCCGCAAACTTGATCCGCTTCACGGAGTCGTGGCCGGAGGTGCAGTGGTTGGTGTACAGGGAGAAGATGAAGAAGATGACAAAGTCTGGGATCGCGTCTTTCATTCAGACAGAAGACATGTTTTATTGTCGATGGTAGAGACAGCACGAACAACACAAACACAGAATGCAAGTGTATTATACAGAGCGGAGGCATGGAGACCTCCAATCAGCAGCTACCACGGTGCCATGTAGCTTGGCCTTCAGATAGACAAAACAAGGGAAAAGTACTGGCTTCTGCACATTGATAGAATGATGAGTTTAACTATAACAAAAGTTGCTTCAAAGTGTTCTGAAATCTCACATTCCCCCCTCTGGTCACACATTCACGTGTGACCATCAGGATCGATAAACAGCAACATAACATCATAACTCAATACTTAAACTCTGTACTTCACTCGGTACTTCAAAAAACTCAGAACTCGGAATACTTCAAAAACTCAGAAAACTCATAAAACATGTTCAGATCTTTCATAAAACTTGTCAACAATCTTCAGTAAAATACCAAACTTCAGCAGGGGAGAAATAACACAGCCCTGTGGGGCTCCTGTATTTATAATCCGAGAGTCCGAGACATTCTTCCCCAGACGCACTCGCTGCTTCCTGTCCGTCAGGAAGTCAGTGATCCATCTGCAGGTGGAATCGGGCACGTTGAGCTGAGAGAGCTTGTCCTGGAGCAGGGATGGCAGGATTGTGTTGAAGGCAGAGCTGAAGTCCACGAACAGGACCCTGGCGTAGGTCCCCGGGGAGTCCAGGTGCTGTAGGATGTGGTGGAGGGCCAGGTTAATGGCGTCGTCTACAGATCTGATGGCTCTGTAGGCGAACTGCAGGGGGTCCAGGAGGGGGGAGGTGAAGGACTTGAGATGGGAGAGAACCAGGCGTTCAAATGACTTCATGACGACAGACGTAAGTGCTACAGGTCTGTAGTCGTTGAGTCCTGTGATCCTGGGCTTCTTCGGGACGGGGACAATGATGGAGGATTTGAAGCAGGCCGGGACATAGCAGGACTGCAGAGAGGTGTTGAAAATGTCCGTGAACACAGGAGTAAGCTCACTGGCACAGTGTCTCAGAGTGGCCGGAGACACGTGGTCCGGGCCAGGAGCTTTGCGGGGGTGCAGCCTCAAGAAGAGTTGTTTAGTCTCTTTAGAGGCTATTGTTAGGCTGGGGGCAGGGCTGATGGGTGGGTCGTTAGAGTAGTGGGGGGTGGGGGAGGGAGAGGTGTCAGGGGCAGCATCAAAGCGACTGAAAAATAAGTTCAGGTCGTCAGCTAGCTTGTGGTCGTCAGCACAGGGGGGGGCTTTGGGTTTGTAGTTGGTGATCTCCCGTAGGCCCCTCCAGACAGAAGCAGTATCGTTGTTACCAAACTGCTCCTGTAGTCGTTCTCTGTGCCGGGACTTGGCTGCTTTCAGTTCTTTCCTGAACTGATATTTAGCTGCTTTGTAGCCGCTGCGGTCCCCCTCCCTGAAAGCAGACTCCTTTGCTTTCCTGAGCTGCCGGAGTTTAGCAGTGAACCAGGGTTTGTCGTTGTTATAGATGACCCTGGTCCTTGTTGGAATGATGCTATCCTCACAGAAGTGAATGTATGACGTCACAGTGTCCGTATATTCATCCAAACTATCTGTGGCAGCTCTGAAAAGGTCCCAGTCTGTAGATTCCATGCATGCGCGCAGCTCTTCCACAGCTTCATCAGACCACACTTCGGAGCTCCTCACTGCAGGTTTCGAGAGCTTTAGTCTCTGTCTGTAAGCAGGAACCAGATGTATCATGGAGTGATCTGAGAAGCCGAGGGCTGGCTTGGGAACAGCTCGAAAAGCTCCGCGCACGGTGGTGTAACAGTGATCCAGAGTGTTCTCCTCTCTGGTCGGGCATTTGATAAACTGTCTGTATTTGGGTAATTCCTGGCTCAAGTTTCCCTTATTAAAATCCCCCAGGATAATAATCAGAGAGTCCGGGTATAAGCGTTCCATACACAGTACTTGTTCTGCGAGTGCGCGCTGAGCCTCGCGCGCGTCCGCGCATGGCGGTATGTAAACAGAGGCAAGAATGAATGAAACAATTTCACGAGGGGAGTAAAATGGTTTACAATGAATGAAAAGATATTCCAGAGCAGGAGAGCAGTGCTTGGAGATCACTGTCACATCGTTACACCAGTTTTTATTGACGTAGAAACACAGCCCACCGCCTCTGCTCTTCCCTGAGAGCGCACAATGGCGATCCGCGCGGAACAGCCCAAAGCCCTGCAGCTCCAGAGCGCAGTCCGGGATCCGCTCATTTAGCCAGGTCTCAGTGAAGCAGAGGACACAGGATGTGGCGAAGTCCTTGTTTCTTCTCATGAGCAGGCTGAGTTCGTCCATCTTATTGCCCAGTGAGCGTACGTTGGAGAGAAAAATGCCGGGGAGAGCCGTGCGCGCTCCTCTCCTCCTAAGACGCACGAGCAGGCCTCCGCGCCTTCCCCTTTTACGGGCCCACACTTTTTTGGCTAGAACATGGACTAAATCAGCCGCAGATGCCAAGAAAACAGGCGATAGGTCCATGGGAACGGTGGGTCGGATGTTCATAAGTTCCTCACGGGTGTAGGAACAGCCAGATGCACAGTTAAAAAGTAAAAACAAAAGAAAAAGAGCAGCAAAGAGCCATGTCGACCGTACGAGGCGCCATCTTTGACATCTTTCAAATGGGGTCAGAGCAGCAGGGCGTGCTGCTCCACACAGGAGTCCGCTGGCTATCGCAGGGCAACGTGCTGCGCTGTCTGTATGAGCTGCGTGATGAGGTGACCTCCTCTTGCAGAGCACCTCACTGATCCAGGCTGGATTACAAAGATGGCATATTTGTCATCTATATTTGAAAAACTAAACATGTCACTGCAGGGCGAGAACACAACCATCCTGTCTCTCGATGATAAGATTCAGGCCTTTGTGCGTAAAATGGAGCGCTGGATAGAGCGGGTGGAAATGGGACACATTGATATGTTTGCCAAATTAGATGAATTTCGAGAAGAAAATACACTGAATGTACATATTGTCAGGGAGTCAAATACTGGCCATCTCCAATCCCTTCTGGATTCACTGCCACTGCAAACCATCTGCCCTGTGACATGGAGGACGCAATGATTGAACTTTCATCTGATCGATCCCTGAGGACACTTTCTGACTCAAAAACGCTGGACGAGTTCTGGATTTTGGTGAAGGATGAGTACAAAAGCTTTGCGTCTTTGGAAACACTGATGCCATTTGGATCAACTAATTTATGCGAGAAGACTTTTTCTGCAGCAGCGCATTTATCATGGGGGTTGCGGGCTAAAAGCTTTGGGAACCCCTCTTCAACACGGTACCACCCGCGAAGATCCCACCAGCAGTATTTTTTTAACCCACAAAAGTCATGACCCGGTGTTGGTGAAACGGCCAGTGAGGGAGCTTCCAAAAACGTGTGGAAACTGTCTTTTTGACTGCCTGACGTCCGGCCCAGAGAAGTCTGCTGCTCCCTGTTGAGTCCAGTCTGAGAGATGCAGCCTCAGAACCTTCGACAACTCAAAGACCTCAGACTCTACTCTAAGTTCTACATGATATCGATCCAGCCGTTGCCAGGTAACCAGCCTCATATGGGATGGAAGAGCCAGACGGATTTCAAGACGAGATCGGGTCCACGAGGACGAAACAGGACGGGATTGTGGAGGGAGGAATGAAGGCGTAGTTTTAGTTATTTACAAATATACAGAAAAAAACCATTTCAGATTTATAAATGAGGCTCAATAGTATCTCACAGCAACAACAAAATCAAGTTCTTTGTTCTAGATGAATGTAAACACGTTGAAGTGGTGCAATGGCCGCACTGAAGACCCTGCTTCATTTGTAACGTCATAAATACTGTACTTTCTAGACTATAAGACTCACCTGTGTATAAGCTGCAGGTTTTTAGTGTTTAGCAGCTTTGCCGTTAGCTTCCATGACTCATTCACCGTTAGCTTCCATGACTCATTCACAAGCCCCGGTGATCCAAAATGGCGCCCTATTCAAATGAATGGCTTGTGCTCAGTAGTTCATGGGACATATACAGGACTGAAAGATTAGCAGAAGTCATCCATATTTGGGCATTGTCTGGTCCTCTCTGACGAGCAGAGTTTGTGGCAGTAAAGTGTGGATTTAAAGAAAACAAGGATTTAAGAAGAAAAAAGTTCAGGATGACAAGGGACACTAAAATCCCCACAAAATCCGACCTTTATGAAAGCTGTAGGTTCTCTGTCAGGTTCTCTGTCAGCTGAGGTCGCGTTGTTTTAGTTTACATTGAGTTCTATGGGGTAGCCTGCGTGAATTTAGTCTGCAGTACCACAGCGCCCCCTGTGGCCATAGGTGGGACAGCTATAAGCTAGTAATACTCTATCCAGTTATTGTTATAGATCCATGCTCCTTCAACTTCATATATTTTGACAATAAACCAGTGTCCTGTAGCAACTAAAATGTCAAAATATGAAGTAAATAAACTTCTACCACAATACAAATACACGTTAGCCACTTCGCTATACAACCCACATGTATCTAAGAACTACAAAAACGTAGCAGCTCAGAGTCTGTGGATCGTAGGTGGTCATTGGTTCCCGACAGAGGCCCCACTCCCACACACCAGTGCTGCAGATCTGAGTGAGTGTTGTGTGTTCCAGGGCCTGCAGTTCCCCCTATCCCACATGGGGGCGCTAAAGCAGCTGTGGCAGGAGGAGAAGGTGCTGGTGACTGACCTCCTATTGGCCAAAGCAGAGGAGCAGCTCGGCCTGGTGGTGGCGCTGTGGAGCGAGAGCCTGCTCAAGGCGCTTTGACATCCACACAACCTGAAGACGCTGAGACCGAGGAGAGAGTCTTTAGCACAGGGACAATAAAGAAAACCGATACTTTGGAATCATCGTCATGGACTCTTTGTGTGAGAAAGAAATACAACAATTGAAATAAATGTATTTTTATGAAGACACAACAGCAGTGACCTCCAAGGAGTTTCTTTACCAGCAGTAGAAAATTACAGCGGTCTCTCTCTCTGGTCTCTCTCTGGTCTCTCTCTGGTCATTCTTTTAGGTTTCTAAACACATCCTCACACACACAGACACAAACCAACATGGACACAATACAAACCAACACATACACACACACACATCAACACGCACACACAACACAATCCAACACACACACACAAACAGAAGCCATCGACCAAAGTTTGCGAGGCACATTTCTCATAGATGAAAGGTTCCACATCAGCGGCTCGAGGGAAAGTCAAATAAACTTTTTTTGTAAAGAAGAAGAAGAGTCTGGATCCCGGCTCAGAGAGTTCTGTCAAAGACTGCTGCATTTTTAAAGTGCTGTTGACTCAGATAATGGCGCCCGGGGCTTTGGGCTCTGATGACTGAGGACTGGCTTTGGAGACGCACCAAGTTTTTAGGAATTCAACATTTGGACTGAGCAAAACGTCGTCCATCGTTCAAAAACAGGACAGTCATGTGACCTATGTTTGCAGGATTCACATGTTGTTTTTAACCCTTTGTTCACTCCTTACAGAAAAAGTGGAAAATTGACCTCGAAGAGACGGGATCTTTACACACCAGAGCCGCAGTTTCCTTCAGTTTTTCTCAGGTTTTTTTTTCCAGATAGAAGAAAGTCAGGATCTAGTTTAAATAGTCAATGTTATGTCACACACATAACATAATCCATAATGATTTATTAGAAACATAGAAAGAAAGTCATCCAGTTGGTAACAATATGTTCTGTCTCTGCTCCTTTTGGAAGTCTCTGACCGTCCTACAGAGGGCGCTGTTACCCTTCTACTGCAGCCAGGCTTCCATGAGACTAGCAAAATACATACAAAAAATATTTCTCACACACACACCAGACCCATTCTAGTCAATGTGTGTGAAGGTTCCAGTTTCCACAACCACAAAAAAAAAAAAAAAATACCTTTGAGTAGGAATGAGGAGCACATAGCACAAGACAAGTGACCAATAACTTGATAATAAAGTAAAATAAAATCTCTAGCTTTAGCATAATAAAGAAGCTAGTATTAAAATCTCTAGCTTTAGCATAATAAAGAAGCTAGTATTAAAATCTCTAGCTTTAGCATAATAAAGAAGCTAGTATAAAGCTGTTAGCTTTAGCATAATAAAGAAGCTAGTATAAAATCTAGAGCGTTAGCATAATTTATAGCCTTGGTTGTGGACACTTTTCCCTATCCAAATAATCAATTAATAAATGAATAAAGAGGCAATTAGCTCTAGCATTAGCATAAAAAAGAAGGAAGTAAAATCTCCCGTATATTTTAGTGCAATAAATACACGTGGTTCTACTTTGCACATTCTGACATTATTTCATCTGATTGCACAGATGCGAGGTCCGGTCGACAGTGTTCGTTGTACAGTTAGATTGTAAAACTGGTTTAATTATTTCCGTTTTAAAGCAAGAGAAAAGGCCACAAACTCACACAAATGATAGCACGGCTCCTGAAGCAGCCCCAGATGCCCTTCCTCGTCCTGAACCGGACTTTAGAGCTTCACACAGATCCGACTGGACAACACCACTGTTTGGAAGCTGAATATTTCATGGTCACTCTTCATTAATAATGTACTTTTCATGCCCTTTGTTGTCTGGGAGGAACACTATTGCCTCTTATTGCTAAAGTTGAAGAGTTGAGTCTGAGCCTGAGCTGTTGTTAGCGTCAGTCTATTTCTCATTCTGTCTACAGTGGTCCCTCGTTTATTTATTGTGAGAGTTACGTTTAAACAGGAATAAGCAAAGTCAGAAATGTATTTTTTTACGGCCCAAAGGACAACAGTAGCTATCTCTGAGGAGCTGTCAATTCGCCAACACAGATCGGAGAAACAAACAATTCAAACACAGGAAATGATAAAAACAACAAAAGAGCCATTGGTCCATAAAGGGGCAGAGACCAAAGTCCATAAATGTGGTTGAATGTTAGGTGTCCTGGATCATCACTGTCCTTTGGGCCTCTGGTATCAATAACTTGAAAACCCAGTGGGAAAAAGTGAGATATCTCAGGGAGGCCCACATTTAGGGAGGGATCCACTCCCACGGACAGACTGGCTTTAGATTCACAACTCGGACTGTAGACAGAGGACTGAGGCAGCTCCCAGGCGATGGGGGGTAGAGTCCAGGCCAGGGGAGAGAGTCCGCAAGGGAAAGATGGAGGAAGCCGGATTCAAGGGTCCCATCACGGCATTAAAAAGACAATGGGACAGTGGGTGAATAGCAATGAACAGACTACAGCTGAGGTTATAATCTTGACAGATACCATACAGACCTGTGTCTCTCAGCTAGCCTGGGAACGCCACAGTATTCCCACAGATGAGCTGGAGGAAGTGTGGAGAGGGAGATCTCTGCTCAGATTGCTGCTGCCCCCACCACCCGGATAAAGTGGAAGAAAATGATAGAGATGATAGAAAGTGCATATTTTGGTTCGTTGGGCAAAAGCCTCAGAGCCAGGGCCATAGTTTAAGGCCCAAAGTACAGTAGATTTAGCAGTATAATTGTCATAATCTCTAACCGTTATCTCTCATAATAGTTATTTGTGTTTGTAGAGTCCATATGATAGACCTGCCGCACTGTCTCGGTCCTGGATCTACAGCCTGCCTGTCCATGGGAGCAGACCCCTCCCTCAATGTGGGCCTCCCCCGAGGTTTCTCAGTTTTTAGAGTTGTTCCTTGTTGATGCAGGAGGGTCTTAGGACAGTGATGATCCAGGACACGCTACATTTAATGACATTTATGGACCGTGGTCATCTGCCTCCAATAAACCTCATCACCGCCCAACAGCTCTACGAACTTGTTATTATTGCATTTCCGGGGTTTGAAAGGCAAATCCAAACTCCTCCAATATGTAACTCACAAAAGTGCTTATTCAAAATAATGGGCTGACATGTTTTTAATAAATGGACTGGCATGGTTTAAAATCATTCTGACCTCAGGAAATGATTTATTTGATCGCAGCATATTCTATTAGTCTACAATATAAAGTAAGCAACCCTATGTATGTTTCCAAAACGTCTCATCAGAGTGCATTCCATCATTTGTCTCTATTGGTCACAAATCTTGTTTTCTGCTACCTCTAAACAAACAAACCTTTATATTGTTTGTCACATTCTAAACACTGTGGAGTAAAAGTTCACATCATTGAAAATATAATGATTATATTCCCACCACTACACCACAATGAGAAACTATATAGATCTATGGAATGTTGTAAAGTCACATGGACGCAGCCTGTTGGCCGTTTGCCCTGTCCCAAGGTGCGAAAAGTGCCAATATTTGCGGCGTATATTGTGGCAACGTACCCAGGCCTACTGTTGACAAGGCAACCCTGAACCAAGTCATGAATATTAAACCACAAAGCAAAGGCTTGGTTTCCTTTGGTTGACAGTGAATTTTGATCCAACGGGGAGAAGCAACTGCTTTAAAAAGCGCGTTAAAAACAAGTGTGACAAACAGGTTCTGGAGTCGAACCTCCAGCTCCTGTTAAACACCAAGCTGGATAAGGCCCTCAACACGGCACCAGGATTTTAGAATTTACTCTGTATGTAACTGGAGAGCTAATTAACATAGTACTTATGGGTCCTCTTCCCTGTGGCCAACCCCGCATGTAAATTTCAAACAAAGTAAAATGCAAAAATCCTATTTGACTGTAATAAACTAATTAATTAATTAATACTTGGTTGGGGCTTTAAAAAGGCTGCTCAGTTTTGAAAAACACTCACAATTGTGCTAATCCACTTTTTGCTTGGGTTACGTGAAATTTAGTTTTCACCACATGTGTTTTATCTATTTAATATTGTCTGTTGTGAACGGCTTAAAAACTAACAAACAAATGTTTGAAATAAATTATTGACCAAATTAGACAATCGAGATTTTTCAGGCAATAATGTAAACCAACTAGCAATATGAAATGTTATTATTCTGCCATAAGAACATTGGGCCAAAAGCATGAAAAATTATTATCTTTTGAAAACGTTATTAGTTCCTATAATCCATTGGCCAGAGCGAGTTGACTGAACAACACGACTGTAAAAGTGAATCAGACCAAACTTTGATGTAAAAGATTTAAAGTAAAAACTATATACAGTCACTCGTCATTTTCCACTATTCTATATTTTTTGTTTAACAAATAAGTACTCGTATAATCTTATCATAGCTCCTCTGTACAAACTGATTTTATTGCTTTAAGGTGAAAATACTTTAAATATTTCTTCTAAAAGCCTGTGGTCCATTATTGACAAAAACAATAGATAGTGTTGAATGAAAAACAAAAAAGTGGCGAAGCAGTGATTCTAACCCCGTCAATGCATTGCAGAGCAAAAATAAACTCTTAAAAATTCTACATTTGACCATTACTTTAAGAGAAAATGAAGCCAAGTCCAAAGCAAAATACTTGAGCAACATTTTGCATAAACTAATTTGATCAAGTAAGTCATTATTTTTACCAACCGTATCCGACCGGGTCAAGCCAAACTACCCTATACTCCCCTGGGTTCGAAAATCAGACATCAGAATACTACAGAATGGTCATGATGCTTTCTAAAAACAAGTCCTACAGTTATTTTGCTTTGAAAGGACACACAAAATCCATCACTTAAAAGTAATATATTGCTTTCTGTCATTTGAATTTAATATTCGTTATTACTTAATAAAAAGCGAAAGTTGATAAGAACACAAAAAGCCGATGGAACCCTCTACCGAATTTTTTATTTGTTTCTGAATAAAGCAACACATTTTCACAGTGCAGTTTCAATCTACAGGCCATCAAGAAGCGAACTCCCCTCCCTTCCCCG